TCTATCTATCTATCTATCTATCTATCTATCTATCTATCTATCTATCTATCTATCATGTATACAGTGTATGTATGCATTCCAGAAGAGGGCACCAGATCTCACTATAGATGTTTGTGAGCCACCATGTGGTTGCTGGGAATTGGGCTTAGGATCTCTAAAAGAGCAGACAATACACTTAACCATTGAACCATCTCTCCAGCCCAACGCTGTTTCTCTTAAGTGTTCCAAAACTTCGGCCTTAGAGTCTTTACATTGAATAAAGGTACTTGTAATTTTAGCTACTAAATCATAAAAGTCCAATTGTTTCACAGTGGTCTAGTGGGGAGGGGGCTTATCCGATAGTATATATATTTTTGTTGTAATTCAGCAAATAATACCATCTGTTCCTAACTCTGGAATGTTCTTATCTAGGTGAGACATGGAATCCATTAAAATTGCATTATCAGTTAAGAAATGTACGGGAACGATTAGCCAAAAACCTGGTAGAAAAGGGTGTACTGACGACAGAGAAACAGAACTTTCTCCTGTTTGACATGACGACACATCCTCTCACCAATAACAACATTAAGCAGCGCCTCATTAAGAAGGTACAAGAAGCTGTTCTTGACAAATGGGTAAATGACCCTCACCGAATGGACAAGCGCTTGCTGGCCCTCATTTACCTAGCCCATGCCTCGGATGTTTTGGAGAATGCTTTTGCTCCTCTTCTGGATGAGCAGTATGATTTAGCCACCAAGAGAGTACGGCAGCTTCTTGACTTAGACCCAGAAGTGGAGTGTCTGAAGGCCAACACCAACGAAGTTCTATGGGCTGTCGTAGCTGCGTTTACCAAGTAACTGTCAGAATGAAAGGTTTCCTTTTTCTCATGTGAACCAGTAGTTTTTTTCTTCTATTGACTTCTGGTTTTCTGCAGTTTGTACTTTCCCACACTAATAATTGGCTTTTGTTCTACAAAATGGTGGGTGGCTATTCTTTTTGTATGTACGCAGGATTCTGCTGGTACGAGAGGCCTTCCTCTTTCTGTTTTTAACCAACCTACTGCCATATTGGCACCCCATTCCCTGTTGCCATTTTCACTGTTAACCTGTTTTGGGTTTCTGGTGTACTTTGACTTTCAGAGTAGCTCCAGTCACCTCACAGATTTTGGATTACCTCAGCTCAAGTTTTCCCACATGTGCATACTCACCTGGCATTCTGCCTACAATTCAGACAAGTCACAACAAGGCCTTCAACTCACCAAAGGTAAATATCTGTATCTATTAGGACATTTTATAACCATAGACCTCAGTTGAGATGTATACTTAGCAAAATTATTTTTAAATTGAAACAGCACAGTAAATACATAATATAAAATGCCCCTTGGATTTTGCTTCCTATGTAAATCTATTGTATGATTATAGCTGTTATAATTTTAGCTATTAAATCATAAAGGTCCAATTGTTTCACAAAGCCAGTTTGGGATGAACTGCATTCCACTTATGCTTGTATATAGTTTGAATTATATATGAATTGCCTCTTCTTCTGTTCACTTCTGCCTCGTCTTAGTGTTTTGAAAATTTTAATTGTGCATCTGGTGCCCCTTACTTAGCTTCATTCATTGTCATTTGATGGCAAAATAGACCCCTCATCATTGAAGGAGAAGTGTGATTCATTCAGGGCTCTTTCTGAAGCCAAGCCTCACTTAGCTTCATTCATTGTTATTTGATGGCAAAATAGACCCCTCTCATCACTGAAGGGGAGAAAAGATGTGTGATTCATTCAGGGCTCTTTCTGAGTTGTGCGCCTCATGATACTCTGCCTGTACATTCTTTTCTTCTTTTTTTTTTTTTTTTAACTTTTCCTGTTTTTATGATTTCGATAGGAAAGAGGCTTGTGACCAGTACTAATCTTGAGTACAGTTTTTTTTTTCCCATTTTTCGGTCTTCAAGTAAATTAATATCTGCTCTGAAATATCATTTATCTATTCATCCTTTCTTGGGGAAAAGAAAATCAGATATCACTCCTAGCAGATGTTGCATGTAAATTGGTAGCGAGTAATGACTACAACCCAGACGATTAAGAATTTTGTAATAGAAAGCTCTGCTATGTTTTAATTTTTATATACAATTATGATAATTAGCACATCGTAAGACTACAAACCTGCTTTTTAATGTTGATTTTATTCATTATCACTGTTTATTTACCATTGGTTTCATAATGTAAATACTATACATTGAACAAATTAGATGTCAAATTTTTTATTACTATAGTTCATGTTAATAGTGGGGCTTTCAGGTGTCTAGAAACTTTTGGTTAACATTTGATGCAAAAATACTAGACGCGGATAACTTTAGAGTTGAATTTTAAGGGTCTCCCTAATATGTATACTATCTTTTTATCTGAAGTAATAAATAAACTATGATCTTGAAAGTGCCTGAATCAGAGCAAGCATGTCATTGATTTTTATGTTCTTATTTCCTTTGCTTCAAGTGAAGTTTTACTTAGTATGTCATGCTAACATTTCAACTCCAGGGCTTGGCAAACTGTCTTAAAAGAGCCAGATAGGAAATACTTTAAACTTGGCGTGCCACATATGATGTTTGTTGCAGAGACTCAACTCTGCCGGATGAAAGCTGTCTGTCACTGACAATACAAATAAAAGACAGTAAAACATTAGAGAAGCAGACAATGTTTTTGCCACCAGTTGGGTTTGCCATCCTCTTTATAATGATGTTTAGGGAAAGACATTAGATAACTCATTTGTCTCCCAAATGATATCACTATGGCAAACATAAAAATGGATATTGAAAACTGACACAAGTACACTGAAATTAAAAAATTAATTAAAAAAGGAATTTTGTTATTTTATGTGTATGAATGTTTTGCCTGAGTGTATGTATGTGTCCTTGACAAGTGCCTGCCAGAGACCAGATGAGTGCATCGGGTGTAAGCCGCCATGTGGTGAGGCCAACTGAACCCAGCTTGATCCTCCGCAAGAGCAGTGAGTGCTAAGCCATCTCACAAGCTTCATAGACAGACTGACTCTCTCTCTCTGGTTTTTAAAGACAGGCTTCTTTCTTCTATCTCTAGCTATGTATCTGTCTGTCTTTCTGTCTATCTATCTGTCTATCTCTATCATTGGTTTTTTTGCCTAAATGTATGTCTTTTGTGAAGGTGTTGGATCCTGAAATTACAGAGAGTAGTGAGCTGTGGGTGCTGGCTGGGAATTTAACCCAGGTCATTTGGAAGAACAGCCAATGCTCTTAACCGCTGAGCCATCTCTCCAGCCCCTAAGACAGGGTTTCTCTTGTTGCCTGCCTCTTCTGGAATTCAGGCCTTTAACTCCAGAGATCTGTCTGCTTCTGCCTCTAGTGTGTTAGGATTAAAGGAGTGTACAACACTGTGCCTGGCACAGCCTCTTAAAAGCAATGCTGGTTCTTTAATGGAAATAATTATTTTGTGTGGCAGGCACATTATTTCCTTTGGCTTATATCACAAGTTAAAAGCTGTTAGCTCAAGAGGCCAATGGTAGTGGATTTTTGTAATAAGCCTGTGGGAATGTCTGTTGTGTCTGAGAATGAATCAGTTACTGTTTCCTTTTGGCTTTATCATGCAGTGTTTAATTGATGAGCTTTCCGGAAAAGACAAAAACCCCACAAACTTAAACATTGGTCTAACAAGCTGTGTAAGGATGTTCTGTGTTGTGTCTGTGTAGTCTTTGTGACACCTGATTCCTAGTCTTCAGAAGATGACTGCTCTGTCTCAGATATCTAGTAGCTATTTAAGCCTTTGATCTGAAAGTGACTGGGCAAACGGGGCTGGTGTCCAATTGCAGCTTTTCTTGTCTTATTTGGGCACTAGGAGGAGGCTGTTTTTCTCTGAGAGACAGTACCAGAACAACAGATATGCAAAAAGTTCTTTAGGCAATTTTAAGGATAGGCTGGTGTAATTTATTTAAATTATAGGGCTGTGAGAAATTGGCTGTTTTTAGAAGAAGCATAAATATGTTAAAGGGTCAAGAATGCTACTGCTCTGTTGAGGCAGAATTGACTAGGAACTTCTGACTTATTCCCTCACTAGGCCTTTTTGTTATTTGTGAACAGGTGGGTGTATGATTTTTAAAATGATTGATTTATTTTTATTTTATGAGCATTGTCTGCATGAAGGTGTTGAATCCCTTAGAAATGGAGTTACAGATAGTTGTAAGCCACCATTTGGGTGCTTGGAATTGAACCCGGGTCCTCTGAAAGAGCAGCTAATGGCTCTTAATCACTGAGCCATCTCTCAAGCCCCAGGAGGGCATATAATTAAAATTGTAAGTGTCTTAACTTTTCGTCACTGGGGGGAAAGGAAACATGGGACTAGTGAGTGATGCCCCCTCAGCCTGTTGGTCACAAGATTCATGTCTGCCAGACACGGCCAGTCTCATCTCACAGCCTGGGAAGTCTGAGTCATGAGTTTATGTGAGATCTCTATGAAATTCATTTAATTCCCAACTGTTGCCTCTCCATTGTGTGTTGTTAGAGCTGGTGCCAGCTAAAGTATTCTGTCCTGTTTTCATCTTGTTGAATAGGACAGACCAACAGTTGGTAGTCTACCCCAGCCCACCAAGCCCTCGGGTTCCAAGACCATTGTGTAAGCTTGTTACAGATGCCATGTATTGAGCCTTGAATTGAGCAACACTGGGAAAGTGGTGGTGGTGTTTCTTAACCTTGGATGCTGTTCTTCAGGGACCTATAGATGGTAACACGGTTTTAATCGTACACACACGCTCAGCCTAATACTAGACTTGGCTGTGCATTTTCACTCATAGAAGAATGGATGGGCACCAAGTAGCACTCGTGCAGTTCGCTTTCAGTAAATACACACCATCTTTGTGAGTGGCTCCATTGTATAGCTTAGCTCCCATCAGTGGTTGTTCAGATTTCTCTCATAATTGGTTATTAGAAGTAGTCTTGGGAGTACAGCTTTATATTTCTCTGATTTTTGTAGAGAATTTCACAGAAGTGAATTGTGTGGAAGAATAAACATTGAAAATAATAACTCAAGTCCAGCTGGTTTCTAAGCTCTTAATGCCTGATGTAATGCCTCTACCAGTAACATGGTTGCTGACCTCGGCACTCATTACTAGATGGCATCATCATTCTTGGCTGTTGCCTAGCTCAAATGGCAGAACTAGCAAGTTGTCTTATCAAGGGGTAATGTTTAGTATCTTTATTGGTGATTTGCATTTTTTCTGCGATTTTTGATTTGTGCTTCAGTCATATTTTTAATGAGCCTTGTTACATTTTCATTCACCAGGACTTAACCCTGTACTTATGATACGGTTGGTTTTCTCAGTCTTTTAGAGTTGGTGTAATGTTTTTCTCTGTGCTTTTTATTTAATATCAGGAAAGTATAACATACAGTGCTTGAATATGGAATCAGTGGAGTCGTTTCTTCTTTAACCGAAAAAATTTATGTATATTATGTATATAGGTTTTTTTGTTTGCCTGTGTGTCTGTACCATGTGTTTGCCTGGTGCCATGGAGGCCAGAAGATGACATTGGGCCTCCTGGGACTTGGAGATGACAGATGAATCACCATGTAGGTACAGTGAACTGAATTTGGGTCCTCTGCAGGATCAGTGAATGTTCTTAGTCACTGAGCCATCTTTCTGGTCCTAATCAGTAGAGATCTTAATTGCCACACTGAACATGCTTGCCTGGTGGTTAGTTTATACATTAGCTACTCTTTTTCGGTAGATGTGATTAACAAATGGGAAAACCATGGGAAAGGGTCTTCACCAACCCTATATCTGACAGAGGGCTAATAGCCAGTATATATAAAGAACTCAAGAAGCTAAATAGCAAACCAATCCAATTAAAAAATGGGGTACAGAGCTAAACAGAAAATTTTCAATAGAGGAATATCGAATGGCAGAGAAACACTTAAAGAAATGCTCAACGTCCTTAGTCATCAGGGAAATGCAAATCAAAACAACCCTGAGATTTCACCTTACACCCATCAGAATGGTTAAGATCAAAAATTCAAGTGACAACACATGCTGTTGAGGATGTGGAAAAAGGGGAACCCTCCTCCATTGCGGTGGGAATGTAAACTTGTACAACAACTTTGGAAATCAATCTGGTGCTTTCTCAGACAATTAGGAGTAGTGCTAGTTCAAGACCCAGCTATACCAGTCCTAGGCATATATTCAAAAGATGCTCAAGTACACAACAAGGACATTTGCTCAACCATGTTCATAGCAGCTTTATTTGTAATAGCCAGAATCTGGAAACAACCCAGATGTCCCTCAACTGAAGAATGGATACAGAAACTGTGGTATTTTTACACAATGGAATACTACTTAGTTATTAAAAACAAGGAAATCATGAAATTTGCAGGCAAATGGTGGAAACTGGAAAAGATCATCCTGAGTGAGGTATCCCAGAAGCAGAAAGATACGCATGGTATATGGTATGTCTCCTTTATTAGCTAGACAATTATCTCCATTACCTTCTGACAGACTTCACAGAGGAAAGGTAAGACACATATTTAGAGCTCACTTGACTATTTTCAAAGAATTGGTTTCCTGATACTGTCTAAAGAATTTATGTGACAACAGAAGCTGGAGAGACAGCTCAGCTATTGAGACTGCTTGCCAAGGTCTCGCCAGAGTTTGGTTCAGAGAACCTATATTGGGTGCTTGCTTATAACCATCTATAACTTCAGCTTTGGGGGATTCAGTGCCCTTTTCTGGCTTCCATGGCCACCTGCACACACATGCACATAAAAACCAATTGTTTTTGGAAATGTGCTAGCTATGTACCTATTTGTGTACTTGTAATTGGCAAGTAATTTTGTATTTGTGTGGTATAATATTGTTTTGATCCGTGTATTCACTGTAGAGAGATTAAATGAACTTAGGGTAACCTTCACCTCTGTACTTTTTCCCCCCTCTGGTGAGACTGGTAAAAGTTTTAGTGCTTTTTCAAATACCCTTTTTTCTGGTACTGGGGATTGAATGCAGCTCTTTGTGCAAGCTAAACATTGCTGTACCCTTGTGCTACCTCCACATCCCGTGAACTCTATTGTTACTATCAGCTGACCGCAGTGCGATAGCTGGATAAAACTCACTCCTGGAACGGTATGCACTTTCGTGAATCACTTTTATTTTCTCAACCTTTCCTTGCCCCAGTCTTCTAACCACGCTTTTTTGTTCTGTTCTATTAAATTAGTTTTTTGAGGTCACATTTAAATGAAATCATATATTTCCATGCCAGTTGTTTTTCATAGTATGGTACAATAGACGTTTTGTGTATTTTTGTTCTATTACAGTTATCCTCATTAATACTTAAATTTTCTGTCTTTGGACAGTTAGTCCCTTCAAAGATCGTTTTAAAAACATTTTCCGGCTGGATGTGGTGGTGCATGCCTTTACTCCCAGCACTCAAGAGGCAGAAGCAAGTGAATCAGTTTGAGGCTAGTCTGCTCTTCATATTGAGGTCTAGGACAGCCAGAATTACATAGTGAGACTCTGGCTTGAAAAATCAAAACACAATTCAGTTACTGGAGGGGTGGGGGAGGAGAGGAAAGGAGGGAGGGAGAACACGTGCTTGCATGCCACCCACACGTGGAGGTCAGAGTACACGTCTTAGGAGTTAATTCTTTCCTTCCACCTTGGGTTCTGGGGATCAGAAATCCAGTCAGCTATCTTTAGAGGCAAACAGTGCCATCCACAGAGCCATCTCTCTAGCCTGGATCTTCAATGTTTATTGCATAGCCCAGTAGTCTTTTGATGACCTCTTGGTGTAACAGATTATAGGTTTCCTTTGTGCATTCCTACCCATATATGGAATCATCAGTGTCTGCAAGAAGGCCTGGATTCTTTTTCCATGAAATAGTACTTCAAGGCCACAATTCGGACTCTTATTCACTCAACGTACATTCATCCCTTAGGCCAAGAGAGGGGTGTCTGCATACCAGCTGACTTATCAGTACTGTATGTCACATGGTTGGGGGGGAGGATCAGGACAGCATGTGTAGACTGATGGTGCCTATAGGCTTTCTGGGTTAGGTGCTAGGCTGGGACTTTTATTGCAGGATAAATAAACCTGGTGGTTTCCCTCAGATGAGCTCATTCCTTGCCTGTTACTAACCTCTCTGACACGCTGAGATGGACCATTTGATGTGTGGGAAAAGGAAAGTTATCTCCTCCTTCTCCCTCCCCTCTCCTTCCCTCCTACCTGAGGCTTGATGAGAATTCCAGTTGAGCATTCTGTTTCTAGTGTAGATCTTTCTGTAAGTAAAACATTTTCAGAACCCTCATTTCCTACCATCTTTTGCCTTTTCTTATTTACAGAGAAAGGTGTCCTGCATAATTTTTAATTTGGTCTTAGCTCTTATTCTACATGTTGATACAAGTTTCTAAATTCATAAGATGGGCTGGTGTTTATTTCCATACTGTATCATAACCAGAGTGTCTTTTGTTTTTCAGTGGGCTTCAGAGGGAATTAACACTATTAGGCATCTCTCTGCCAATCAGAACTTTATTTCGAGAATGTATCTTGCTTCCTTTGTGGGACTTAATTGTTTGTTAAAGCAGCAGAGCCTTAATAAAGAAGGTGGTTTTGAGTTCACCCTATGAAATAGGACCCCAGGTCAAGTATTAGGGAAAGACAGGGTCTCCTCTGAGGGAAAGAATGCTTTCATGAACAGTGAGAGGAAAACTGGTCAATGATGATTGCTGAGCAGCAAAAGAGGGCCCAGTGGAAGTTGGAAACTGGGAATTTATGGTGGTTTATTTTCATTGTGGGTGTGGGATTTTAGCAACAGGCATAGGTTTCAAGATTCTGGCCTTTTGGAAGGATCCAGGCTTGGCTGGCAAGAAAGGCCAGTGCAGTGAGGGACTTAAGCCCATGGAGTCTATGTGTGTCTGTGTCTTGTCTGTTGAGAGGAAGTGTGAGTGGTCAGGCTGGAAGGGGAGAAAGGCAGTTACTAGGGTTGTTAAAGACAAGGTATAGTGGGAAGACTATAGTGACCAGGAATTTGTGAGACCCAGATGTGGACAGATGTTAGCGATGTGCTGCTTGTATGTGTAGGCATAGAAAGAGCAGCTGAGGCCTCTTTACCTCTTACTTATTATATAGGTGACAATAAGGTAATAAAAGCACAATTTTAAAAAAATCTTGGTATTACTTAACTGCATAATAATGAGACTGAGACAAAATCAAGTAGTAAGCAGTATTTATTTTTTGAAAATTATTTAAAAAATTGTTTACAGAGATGTGGATTTACATAACTTGGCAACATTTTTTAAAATGTACAGGCCATTTCCTATTATTGCACGTACTCTTTAATATATAAGGCATTTTATTTTACATAAATAAAGAATAATGTATAATATACAAGTGTGGTGCCACTGAAGTCAACCATACAATGCAATATGTGTCGGAGGATGGAAATGAAACCCAGCCTACTTGAGCCTTCACGGTATTTTCTTACGACTATGACTTCTATGTTATAACACGTTTTACCTCGTAGCTTACTGTGAATGACTGACCACTTTAAAAAAAAGGTTTAGAACAACACCATTAGTATTCACTGCAGGAAGTATGGGGATTTATTAGACTAAATTAGCAATACTAGTCATGCCTTGAACACCAAAGACAAATAAGTAGCTTTCTATCTTAGGGTCAAAGACAGGTTAGCTTTTGCTTCTTCCCTTACATTCCCCCTAGGAAGACCTTTTAGAAAGATCCAATCCAAATGCCTGATGACTTAACATGGTTTGGTAAGCCAGAGGTTCTCCTTGTACTGGTTGGAGGAGCTTTGGGGATACTCACAAAGAGACCATTCCATTGCTCCAGCAAGTCCTGTCTGTTCACAAAGGACTTACTAGGCATGACTGTAAAGGAGTGAAGGCAAAAAAGAAAGAAAATGGTTTTCCGTGCTGACTTGAAATTATCATTCAGGTAAAAAAGCAGAAACTGACCCCAGAGACTTAAACAACAACCTAAACATGCACCTTGCACTGACGTCTTATAGTAACCTACTTGGAACTGTACTGAAAGGAAGATGCTAAATTGGGGTTTTCTAGCTAACTTCTGGACTGTAGTTTTCTTTGTGTGACCTGCCGAAAGCGAGCCAGCTATTTTGTGCCCACCTGCGGACCCTCTTTGGGCCTAATCCACAGATGGGTTAGAAAAGATGATGTCCAAAGGCAACATCAGCTGAAGCACCTCAGTGAATTTTAGACCCAGCTGTGTGCTAAAGAGATCAACAGAACCGTAGCATCATGCATGCGGGATTGACAAGTGCAGCCTCCACCCGAGACCCCAGGACCCAGCACTGGGTGGCACCACCTGAGGGTAGGGTGGTAAACACTAGATAGTCCTTTTCCTAGAGGATGACTCACCCTGTTTTTCCATTTTCCTCCTTGTTTGGTAAATGAAGCTGGTGAGGCTTTGGGATTTAAGAAAACAACCGTCAGTGCAAAGGGAGAAAAGCCAGCTTTGTGAGGAGGAAGGGCTCCAGAGAAGCCCATGGCAGCTGGGGGAGTGTCACAAGCAGCTTGAGTCAGGATGCTATGTGGGACCCCAGTTTTGGAAAGAGGAAGAATTTGCAAAACAGGAAAAACCAAAATAGCAAAAGGTTGAACCACTGCAGAGCTCTGTCGGAAGAGAGCTGGACTGCGAACTCTGTGCTGCTTTAAGTTTGGTGGGGAACGGGAGAAGAACCAGCAAGCAAATCTCCAAGAGAATGCTCAGGCACTCCTCAGTTTGGATCACAGAACACCTATGATTGCAAGTTGAAGGATTTAACTCTCAAAAATTCCTTTAAGGTGGTGGTGTATGTACGTGAAAACGGAAACACACTGGCAACTTTGCCTGCTCCTGTGTTGACCAGTCTTGAATTCAAACATACTCAAGTTTGAAAATTGGATGCAAGGTGCTTTCAGGCTACAACTTCCTCCTTCCAAGCAGGGAAGCTCACAGCTATTTATTGCAATTCATCAGAGCTGTCACTCTGTAACAGCCTTATGACTTAACACTCTCCAAAACAAAACAATCACAACTTCCCAGCCCGTACCATACATTATGTTCATTAAAAAATAGCACTTTTTAAAATCGTCATTTTTCACTGTTGGGTAATTCCTGAGCTCTGCCTAACAATTAGGTCATAAATTCATTTTCTTTAAATCTCATTTTACTTTTCAGGGTAACATACATAGACCCATACCTCTGCCTTCCACTGCATGTACCTAAAAGCACTATGTCATTTACTTACAAAATTATATAAATCTACATACATACATCATTTTACCTGGGCATTTGTGTTATCCTTCTGGTCCCTATTCACCAGGACTGATGCTGGGAGAGGTGGCAAGTAGGATGTGAAGGTGTAGCTAGCTTCCAGATGAAGAGCACATCAGCTCTTGATCCCAGGCACTGAAATGATGCCTTCCCAGCCTTGATGGTCCAGGTAGGTTGTTTCTGGAGTTCGGGCTTCATGTAAAAGCACAATAAGCTGTGTGTTGATTCAAGAACCCATCACTTAAAGAAGTCATTCTGATTTGCTAAAAGAAGTGAATCTAGGGGAGGTGGTTGTTAAAATTCATGAATTCCTGTGCTTTCTAATCACTAGCTGCACAGGCCCTTCTGGAACGGACTTCATAATATTCCAGGCATCGAAGTGCACCAGCCCAACCAAGGGTTTCCCGTTGATAGCAAGGATCTCATCGCCCGCTTCTATTGTTCCAGCCTGTTCTGCGGCACCACCTGTCAGAACGGATGCAGAACAAACTGTTGGTACCAGCATTCTTAAAAAAGGCAACTAAGAGTTTAATTGGGAAGTATTTCTCAGTGATGTTCCTGTAGTCTTAGGATAGGGAACTATTTTCCTTTATTCTTATTTGAGAGAGCCTATAAGCTGTTACAAAATAACTGTAGAGTAGTCCTTCCCAATCTAAACAAGTCCCAAGTCTGTAATTCACAAAGGGAAGATAATATGTTTAAAACTAAAAGCCACAAATCACTTTTTGCTAATAAACCACCACCAGAAGCCACATGCATCTTCCAGGGAAGGGCCCATCTCAGAGGGTTCTGCCTCCCTCCAGTGAATCCCCAACTGGCTGAAGTTGATGTCTGACTATGTGAAGGAACAGATTTTATGAACTGCACGAAAGGTCTGCCTCCCTCACAAGTTGGTGTGATCATGAGGGACGCATGATGTTGCACAAGTCCTTATGTCCAAAGGACTTGTTTTTGTTCTTCCTAGGGGTGTCTACCATCTAATTAAGAAAGTAGCTGTTGTTCACAAGCATCTTTGGAGACACAGAGAGGAGGAGGATTCTAAGTTCTGCCTGATTCATCCAGAGAGTAGCATTTACCAGCCAGCATGTTAAAAACTAAGTTATGAGTCATTCACAGCCTCCGTGATAGTGGCTTAAAGTCTGTGTACTCAAGCAGTAAAATCACTTTAAACAAACATACAAACCAGTAGCAAATACACAAGAGTTGGTCAAAGGAAACCAAGAACTAAAGCACCAATAAACACCCAACAAGCTCATGGAAACAGTATCATCCAGGATGTCAGCTGGGGTTGTATCAGGCTTTGAGCACTAGCGGTTCCCTGCTCACTAGGCCTTGATCTTGGGGACACTGCCCATTGCATAACGGTTGGATCACCTCCATGCAGAACTTCCCACATTTCTGTAGTGTGGCGTTGTGGAAGTTACAGCACACTGACGAGCTTTCGGAAGACAAGCTGAAATCCCCCTCTGTTTCCTCCCAGCTACATACACACCTAAAGCACACTGAGGAAGAAAATGCCACCATGGAAAAGAATTTAAAAAGCTGCTCACGTATGAGAGAAAGTAAGTTAACTTTCTTAGAAACTTCAGATCTCAAAAGACTGAACAGAAGTACATTTCTGAAAGCCACTTTAGGTATTTGGGGCTGGCAAGATGGCCCAGTGGGTAAAAGTGAAAGACTGATTCCTGAAACTTGTGCCCTGACCTCCTTTGAGCACATGTACACAAGGTAATAATTTTAAAAAAGTTACAAAAAGTTGCTAGTGAGATGGCTCAGCAGTTAAAGTGCTATTGCTCTTCCAGAGGACCTAAGTTCAGCCCCAACTTCCTTCCCAGCACCCACATGTGGTGGCTTTCAGCCCATAGCTCGAGCTTCAGGGGTTCCAACATCAACCTGGCAACTCCCTCGTGTGGTGTGTACCCACACGTGAAGATACAGCCTGGGGGAGAGAGGACTGGAGGAGTTAAATGCCTAGCCATTCTACCCTGCACTGTTCGGCCTGAAGCTGCCCTGCCCGTCCCCATGACAGTGTGAATCCAGGGGCTGGTATGTATAACACTGTCTCACTTTGGTTTAAGTCAGACTGAATGTAACGGTCCATCTCAGGTCTCTGTTCTGTTACTTGTTTTCTGACAGCAGCTTCGGAAGGTGGGAAAGCCAGAGATAGTTTTAAAGATGCGGAAGTCCAAATTTGGTCTATAGTGACTATGCCCAACTGCTACTCTGCCTTTAATTGTTAATGGGCTCTCAGGTGAGTCCTGCCTGGCAGATCGCCTCCTGCACCTTTTCCTCTTTCCCTGGGAGCTGCTCCTTGTGAGTACTCTTACACATTGACTTCATGCTTCCCTCACCCCATTCTCTGTTCTGCTTCTGTCAGCTTAATGAGTGTTGAGTATGGGGAGTGTCCTGTAGCTTAGTCCTGCTAAACCTATGTAGTGTAGTACATAGAGCAGGCCTGGCTCCAGATTGACGCTGGTTTTTTGCTTGCACATGGGACCATAAACAGAGACAGCCTGTCTTGGATGCTACCGTGAACTCTCAAGCAAGCTGTCTCACTTCTGGTTCCCTGGCAGTCCTTCCCCCATTGCTAGGGGCCGGTATCCGGCAGCACACGGAATGAGGAGGTGCTCAGCCCCTGCCCTTGGGCACGCTTATAAAAGCTTCAGTCCTGCTCACACATTTCTTCACCACCTCAGGCTTCTGTTTTCTATGGAGATTTGATTTTGTTGTGTTTGCAGACAGGGTCCTATTTCATAGCCCTGGCTGGCCTAAAACTCCTTGTATGAAGCTCAGGCTTGGCCGCAGACTTGCCATAACCTTGCTCCTGCCTCCTGAGTGCTTGGACTGCTGAGCCACCATGTCCACCTGGAGATGTTTTACAATTATTCACCTAAGATGTGAGAAATTTATTGCTCATATGTATTTGGCTGAGATTGAGAACAGAGCTAGAATGAAATGTGACAGGGATGGGCTTCGTCTAGGAAAGTAGGTTTCTCAGAGATGGTCTTGTGACTGCGTGATAATGGAAGCTGTGTATCCACCAAGAAATTCTAGAAAGTGGCAGTCCAACAGCTTGGGCTAGTATTCCCTGCTTGTTTTTAGTCCTGTGGCTTCTGGGTGCACAGGCTGGCAGTTTCAGCCTTCTGCCTTACTTCATTTTATTTTTTTAAAGTACAGCTTATATTAACACTATGTGCACAAAATAGCTATGTAATTATGAAAAGAGATCACAAGTTCAGATCAAATCAGACCAGGGAGGCAAAGTCAGTTGATCTCTATGAGTTCCAGGTCAGACAGGGGCTATATAGTGGCCCTGTCTGAAACAAAACAAAACAAAACAGCAAACACACACACAACCAACCAGTTTTAAGCTAAGAACAATCTCATGTCTTGGTAGCTTACTTACATTCTCTAACTGTAAATGAGTTTTGAGGGGCTGGAGAGATGGCTCAGGGGTGAAAAGCACCAGCTGCTCTTCCAGAGGACCTGGGTTCAATTCCTAGAACCCACATGGCAGCTCATAACTGTATGTTCCAGGGGATCTGACATCCTCACACAGGCAAATAAATCACCAATTCATATTAAATAAATAAATCTTAAAAATAAAATTAAGTTTCTGATCTATTTGTAAGTATGTGCTGATGTCAGCCATATAATTACATAGTTTCTGGCTATGTAATGAATTAGGAATCTGAAGGCTTTAAAGACGTCCCAGTGGTGATGGGGGTGCGTAGCTGGGGATGAACACAAGTATTAGGGGCAGAACCTGGCTCTCCAGAACCCACGTGTATGAATCACCTGTGATCCCAGCCCGCTGAAGGCAGATCCCAGCTGGCAAGCACAAGGTTCAGTCAGAGATCTGCCTCAGAGATGAAGTGGAGAGCAATTAAGGAAGAATGCTTGGACCTTCGCATGTATGCATGTGAACATGCATATACATATGCATGCCATACACATGTGCAAAAAAAAATCCTTTGGCCCAAACAATTTCCCAAGATCATAAAATGAAAAATTCAAGTTCATGAAGAAACCATTCACCACTGCTTACCTCCTTTTCTTGCAGTCCAGTATCTGAAATCACTGGACCCTGGCTTGACATTACACGTTCCTGCTGGTCTCTCTTGACCACTGTGCCCACCTAAGCACCAGCCTGGGCCTTGGGAGGTTTAATACTTGCAAAGCACAGTTCAATACTATGCAGCAGTAAAAGCACTGTGGAGTTTGGAAAAGTTCTCGTACAGGAGGAATGGGTTTCCATGGAGATGTACTTTACCTTTGTACACCCTTTTAATTACCAGTGGCCCATCTCCAGACACGGATGATTTCCCTCCATCCAGACTCAGTCCCAGCCCAGCCGAGGTTTTCAGCACTTCAACACACAGAGCATCATGAGCAGCTCCATTTCTCCCTGCAGCAAGGATGTTTGTCGAGATAAAATGAACGACAGGTTGTTTGGGTGCCACCTGTCCAGTGTCCCCCCAAATGCATTGCCTCAGGCATCATGGACTCTGGTCACCCCAAGTCTTGTCTGCTGGGAAGTGTTTACAACCTTTGGTTTCAACATCAGGGTTGACCTCCCAGAAGGGAGCCCTGCCTAGCTGTGTCCTACTGGATTTAATGTCTTCAGCTTTTTGTCCGCTCCTGCAAGGGCAGAGAATGCTTTCTCTCCCAGGCAGAAATGCCCAGGAGACGAACTGCTCTTGTCAAGTCTCACATTCTGGTAGCACACATCCTAGTGAGGATGGAAGTTACACTCAGTGAATCAAATTCGATTTCCTGCCAACCCTGGCTACCATAGCAACAGAATGTCACCATCTGCTGTTGAAAGCAGAGGCACTGAAGTGCCCAGCTCATGAGAGACTGTCATAATTGGCTGGGAAGCTCCCTGGAACCGGGTGGGGCTTCCTTCCTTGCCCCGTGCCCTTTGTGTGTCTGTGAGAGGACACCCTGCACCCCTGGGGCATCGTTGCCTCCCTCACGCTTGCATCCTTCGTTGGCATCTGGCTCTGTGTGGGGAGAAACGTTTCCATGGTGATGGAAGCTCCATGTCTTGTTTGGAAAGGCCAGGCTGGGGACTGGGGACTGAATAGGAATTAGGCACTTGCCTTTTAGTTCCCTTAAGTCTGTATGATGGAGTTAAATGGAAAGGTGTACTTAGCTGCTTGGAAGGCAGGAGAGGGGCAGTGGATGAATGAAACTGCCTACCTAATATAATTCTTAGGACCAACGTGACTGCTAGTTCCTTAGTGCAATTTAAAGCCAAGTCACATGGTCTGGAAGACATTTGCTAATACTGGGAGTGGTGTAATTTTTTAGTGGGTGACTCGCTGCTCAAAAGGGGGAAGGGAGCTTTCACCGTGGTTCCCAACTTGGGTTCTCTCCTGGAATCACCGGAGAGCACTGTAGATGTACTCATGTATGTTCCTTCCTACCCCAGATCCTTGGTTCAGTTGAGCAGGGGACTGTCTGGTCATCAGGGTTCTAAACCGGGTTCCAGGTGCCTCCACTGTACAGGAGGCCCACATCAGATGTCCGTCAGTCTGGCCAGGTGTAACTGCAGAGCAGAAGGCTAGCTCAGGCCACATCCCAGCCTAACCGAGCAGAGGCATTTGGGCGCCCTCGACTGTCATGATAGAAGAAACAAAGGGCCTCCTGTCTTGAACTGGGGGCTACCTGCCCTCTAGACTGGGGGTAGTGGGAGGGGATCTGCAGGGCTTATCTGAAGGCTGTGGAAGCCTGCGCTTGGAACAGAACTCACTTAGTGTGGCTGGTGCAAGGGGCGTGCATCCCGAGCCTTTTCTAAGCTGTTGGCACAGAAAAGCTGCAGTTTCTATTTTCAAACACAAAAACATGTTTATCCCTTCACTTCCTCCTATTCTGCTAAAACAAGCAACAGTGTCAATCTTGATGCTTCTCAAGGATACACCTAGTTGAGAAATTACTCTTTGATACTGAGCTCTGTTACAAGGCTGTTTTATTCTCTAGCCTGTTTTATCTTGCTAGTCCAGTCCAGTCCCAGTGCTTCATCAGCCAGCTGCTCACACCCTGCCAGCCATCCGTGGATAGCTTACCAGCTCCAGGCTCCAGCGGCAAGGTCTTCCTGGCGAGTGGACCCTTCCCATTGGCTGAGGGAGGCTCCTGCCTGAGGGCGGGCCTGGGTTGGTCATTCCCTTTCTTGATAACTATGAGGGCCTGTTTGTGCAGCTGTGCCTGGTGCAGAACCTTCGTGACCTCACTGTGGGCTAAGCCAGCTAAGGAGGTGCCATTGATGGAGAGAAGGAAATCCCCTCGGCTCATGGTCCCTTCCTGAGAAGCCACACCCTGAGAAAAGACTCTGTGGACCTAGGACAGAAAGGACAAGAGAACAAATTCATAACCCTGGTGACTGACAGTGAAAGAGCAACTACAAATCTGTGATCAAGGAGTTTCCCCACGCCACACTTCCTAATCTCACTTCATCAGTGTGCAGGGTAGAATTAACAGATCTCTCCAGTGTATTTCTACTCATGTGTTACTTTCACCCACAGGGTAGCAGGAATAGATGCAGGTGAAACTCGGGCTTGCCCAGTGAAAATGGCCTGAAGGCCTCCAAGTGATACAAAATGTTACTCTGTGCAAGTGTGGGCACTTGACTCTTTTCTAGTACTTAAATGTAAATTACTACGATGTTGGCGATTATGCTGACATACATTGCATTTGGCCTGTGTATGTTAGCGATCTGTAAAAACGCTGATCTTTGAGAATGGAATTACTATTCTCCCCATGCTCCCATTGTCTTGTTGGTAACAGGGACCAGAACTGAAGGATCTCTGATTGGAATTTGTGTCCTGATCAAATTCTGCTACTTACAGAGGGATGGCCTGAGAGCCTTGGAACACTACAGCTTACCATGACTGATTTTGGCTCCACGTCTGTCCCTCCTGCCACACTGAATCCCAGACCTGAGCCTTCTTTTTTATTCAAGACTATGAAGCAAGTATCTTCTTTATTCTAGGGAAGAGAATGGACAATTTATGGTGGACTCATTGTACCCAGGCTGAGAAAGTCTTGAACTAAGTCCTCATGGAGGTACTTGGCACAGATCCTTAGTAATTCATCGTTTAACCCTGGGAATGTGGAGGAGTGCAGCTCAGCCTTCCTACATCTACCCCAGGTGGGCTGACGTGCCAGATGACCTATTTGTGGAACCTGGGAAAAGTGAACATGAATGAGGATGGAGGAGCTTTCCTGAGTCCCCAAGTCTTCCAGCCATTTGAGGAAAATTGCTGCCTTCCCAGATTTGGCCACAGTACATGCTTCTGCTGCAGAGGGAACTCTTTATGCCATACTTCTCTAAGTCTATAATTTTATATATTATTTTTTTGAGACAGGGTCCATGTAGTCCAAGCTGGCCTCAAACTTGCTACGTTCCCAAAAGTGATCATTTACTTCTGATCTTCTTTTGAAAATTGGAAATAAATTTTTACAAACTATAATATATTCTGATAATGGTATGATCTTCTTGTTTCCATCTTTCAAGGACCAGGATTGCCGATTGGGCCACCATGCCTGGTTGCATGTAGTCCTGGGGATTGAACCCAGGGCTTCGTGTATGCTGGGCAGGCACTCTACCAACTGAGCTATACTCACTAAATCCACAGTTATTAGCATGCCTGAGTTACAATAACAAAAGACAAGAGTAAAAACGTAGGGTAAAGGCAACATGTTGCAGCCATGTTTTATATACCAGCGTTTCCATATTTGGGTTACTGACTTAGTTGTGGGTACAACTGATTAGCTGGTAGTCATAAAACAAAGCAGGTGAAATCTGTCAACTGGATGAGACTAGAACATCCTTCATAGTGATCTGGAACATTCTTAGTGTTCTATAATTAAATAACATTAGACTTTCTTGTTTTAAAGATATCTTGAGATAGAAGATTAAACCTAAATGGGCTAAGTGCTCTGAAATTTGACACCACCTCCATTTTAGACATGATTTAGCAACATTTTAAAGCTCTGCATTGCTTGATTTTTTTTTTTTTTTTATGAAGTAATCATCAATGGCACAGCAATACTAGAGAAAGCAAATAGTAACCTTTGATGACTGATTTGATGAGAGAAAAGAAGCAGACGACCACCTATGGGTACAGCTGATCAAGAAATCCAATGGAGGATGGTTTAGTTCTATTGGTAAGTCATGAAGACAGGGGCGCCCTCTGCCCAAGCAGAAAGGTGACCCTAACCCTGAACATAAGCACGTGGGTTAGTAGATGGTCTTCTGGAAGGTAGGTAGTTAGATACTGAGATAAGAGTATTCCTCAATGCCCCATTCTTCCTAGGGCAGGGACAGTGTATTTTAAAATGGGTAATACAGCCATCAAAAACTCCATTTATTTAAATTAATATTTGCAGGGGTATTTGTGGCAACAGTGTACTAGTGGCTGACGGCCTGAGAAATCTGGGACAGTGTCGGGATGCCAGATGAATAGCGCACCCGCTCCAAAGCCAGCAAAGCAGCCTGAGTTTTGCCTTTCTCATCCTTCCTGGTACAACAAAAGGCCACAGGATATTGGTCTGTATCATTCTGGTTCTAGCACAGCACATTCTGGGGAAAAGCATAGAACTGCTGGCAGGATCAGGCTAGCTCTCTCCTTTCTGAAATCAACTGTAAACAGAAAGTCCATTCTGATCGAAGCAGGGCTGGTCCTTGACACCAGACCACACACTTGGTTCAGGGTATCAGACCAATAGCAAGCGCCTGGCATTCTGTCTGCTCCAAAGTTCTGAGAATGCATGGCTTACGTCTGTGTCTGGTTGAGGCTTTCTTGTCTCCTTGAACATCTGTATCTGCTATAACACTTTTGGAGCAAAGAGAACCTGGAAGGAATGAGACTGTCCTGGAGTGGCACAGTGACACTGAAGGAAGTTGCAATCTGATGAACAGTCAGTCCCTTTCACTCAAAATGAAAGCACTCAGTTCCTCTAAGGTTGTCTTGACTGTCTATACCCTACCGGTAGGCTGAGAATCTGAAGGAAGCAGGAAGTAACAGGTATCTATTTCTTGTCCCACTACCCTTAGCCACTCAACATCCTGGCCCATTACACGATTAGGCTACACCTTAACCGAGAAACCTCAGATGGTAGCCAGGGGGAGGGTTGGGACAATGTTTGTAAGTGACACTAGTAACCTGGTTTGCTATCAGTCATTCCTAGTTGTATGTTTTCTACAAAGATGCATCTGTCAAGGTTTAGGTTTTTACTATTGCCCGAGGAGCATTCTATATGGGAACCCATGCTTTCTTTTGTGACTGTTCGCTGTCACATACAGTGGTTCATTTAATTTCTGTGTCTTGGTCCTACAGACTGGGCTTTAGGAACTCTTAAATAAGCTGCAGAACACAGGTGGTAACAATGCGAGCCTGTCACCAGCAGGTGGCTCCCCTCACTAGTTTACGCTGGCACTGACAGGCACAGAGGGCTGTGGTCTTTCAGCACTTGCTCTGCAAACTCCATTTGTGGGACAGAAAGACGGGTGAACAAGCAGTGGCTGCAGGGGATTTAAACTAGCCGGGGCACCAAGCCAACATTTCCCATTGCAGCGAGGGCCAGGCCCTCTAGCCAGTGGCAGCATGTGAGGCAATAGAAAGAGCCCAGCACCTGCTGTTCCCCTGTTCCCCACCATGCCAGAGACACCCTGCTGTTTCATCCCTGGGTTTTTGTATCCCACTCACCTCTGATTGCGTCTTCACTTCCTGAATGAGAGTGAGAATGGTAGATTTTGACCCCACCACTGATAAAACAGCCTGTAACCTCTGCTGGTGTCCTGCTGAGTTGAAGAGTTGATCCAAACTAAGTTTAAAAAAAAAAAAAAATTGGAAGAAAAGTAAATAAAAAAGCAACCTCTCGATTTCTTAAAGATTCATCTGAAAGGTCTCCCTGCCACGTTGTGGGCATTTTTCTGACCTACCTGCCTCTGGCTGGGTGTAACTTCTGCCCCAGAGTTAACTACAAAACCCTGCAAGGCCAGCACGAACACCCTTCACCCACTGTAGGCAGTGGGCCTCGGGAGCCCTCCAGGACATTAAGGGACCAGTGCGGGAGTTTAGCAGACAACTTCTAACATGTTTTAGAAACTGGAGGCTCCAGTGAAACATGGTAAAACATTAAGAGAGCCGGGCGCAGTGGCACACGCCTGAAATCCCAGCCCTCAGTGGGGCAGAGCCAGGTAGATCTCTGAGTTTAAGGCCAGCCTGGTCTATGAGGCGAGTCCAGGACAGTCAAGGTACACAGAGAAACCCTGTCTTGAAAAAACCAGTCAACCAAACAAACCATTAAGAGTTTCCCATTCAACTTCAGCTGCTTTTAGAGTCTCCCTGAGTGGGCCGTGCACGGCCTGCACTTCCTCCAACTCCCTCACTGGCTACTCTTGTCCTTAGAGCCACACACTGGCAGGCATGTGCGGCTTCCGGGACTGACACCGAAAATGACATACGGTATCTGGAATAGAAAAGGGCATTTGTGGAATCAACTCAGCAAAAATATGAAGTCCGAGGCATTGTGGATATGGTTGGTTGGTTGGTTCGGGGTTAAATCCTTAATTTCTCACTAATGGACTAGGATTGCATAAGATATGTGGTTTGGAAGAACTGCGGAGAGGTAGCGTGGGGACTCCCCATAATCACCTCTGGCGCTGTTTTATAAACCTGAAAGTGTTTTCAAGGGAAGCAGGCCTGTTTAAGTAAGAGGGGAAGGTAGACACTTACCTCACGGACCAGCTTTTCCCCGAAGGCAGGGCCCTCCCAGGTTCGCCCCCTTCCCTGGCTCCACTGGATGCTGCAGGCTCACTGGCTGGAGGGCTGTTTCCTCTTGGGTAGACCCTGGTCCCACCATTCATAGGACAGGAAAGGGAAGCTGATCCGTTGAGGTCGAGGCCCACATGGCCTCTAGCTGGGGAGCCCGCTGGAGAGGTGGCCGCGGAGCCCTGTGACCTGGGGATGATCTCCAGCTGGGTTCTGAAGAGCACGGTGCCTGGGCCGGCGGGGTAGTCCTCACCACCACACATGTCCAGGTCTGGCATGCTCAAGGCTCTCAGCTCCTGCAGCTTGGATCGGGACACAGGGGATGGCTGGGTGTGGCGCACTGAGGACTTGTTCCTCTTGATGGGTGAGGCTGGGGTCACTGTTGAGGTGGGGATTCCCGAAGGGACAAGTGATTTCTTTGGGTCTGAGCCGGGGCCCTTGTTGCTGGTCTCCGGTGGATTCTGCCTGGAGATAATCAGGGTCACACTGGAAGGGGACTTTGTTATCTGCGGGAGAAGGCTGCTGGCCTCGCTCTGGCTTTCACTGCAGGAACTCAAGCTACGTCTTAGTGACCGGGCTGTCACATCACTAGGGCTCCCTGAAGTGATGCTGCCAGACGACCGCCTGCTAATGGGAGGCTTGGAGCTCACAGACAAGAATGGGGATGTGGTCGCCTTGGCCGCAGGCCGGTCAGAATTGGCCAGGTTCTCAAAAGACTTGATCCTCTGCTTCACAGAGAAAAACGAGGTAGATTCATGGGGCCAGTTCTGCTCATAGTAGTACTGTCTCCTGGTGACCTTGACTTTGTCTGGGATGAGACAGGTTGTCTCAGGGACTGCGCCGACACCCCCTCCGTCCGTTGGCGGCAGGTTTTTTGCCGTCTCCAGCAGAGGCTTCACACTATATACACCCTGTCCGTTAGCCTCAGAGAGACTGCCGCTCATCACAGGGGCCTGGGGGGCCTGTGGCGAGCGACTTGGGCTGGGCGGGGAAGGACCTTCTCGTCCAAAGTGGCTTGAGAACTGGGCTGGCATGGAGTAAGTCCTGGTGGCTGGCCTCGGGGTGAAGTAAGGGTGCTCCTCCCCTCCCGGGGCTATGGGTACGCCATTCTTGGGCACCGCTAGGGAGCCTGGCACCTGGCTGGATCTGGCCTGGGAGGAATCTGGTGTTTTGGCAGGCAGCTTCGGGGAGGAGGAGGAGGCCAGTCTGGCCATGCTGAAGGAGCAGCACATTTCCCGCTGCTCCACCTGGGAGGGAGAGGAGGGCGGATGCTTTGGGGACGAGTCCAGTGGCTGCCGAGGCCTGATTCCACTCTTCTCCTGACAGTTGCTCTGGGTCAAGAACCCTCCCTGTCTGTCACTGCCCAGTGGCTTGTCACCACATGCCTTCTTTGGCATTCTTTCAGGAGAAATCTCAACTATTTTCAACTGTTTTGTCCTTTCCAGAGGCTCACTAGCAATTTTTTCACTTCTTTTCTCACTCATGCCCCCAGGCTGGGCTGCTTCTGACACCAGCATGTCCGTTTGGCTGGGCGTGAACTGCTTGCTCTGTCTGCTGCCCGCCACGGCCATGCTGCTCCTGGACCCTGACGGACTCACAGACCCAGAGTCAGCATGGGGCAGCTTGCCCTCTGGTCCACACCTAGGGGACCTGGAGGTGGGTGGACAGCTTGTGTCAGATTCCGAGTAGACGGCCATGTGGAACCTCCTGTTTGTACCTTGCTCAGGGAGAGGCTTGGGAGAAGTCACGGGTGACGGGAAGCTTCTGATGCTTGTGTCTGATGCCGAGGTCCTCAGTGACCCAGAGGTAGCCAGGGGTGGCTTGCTCTCGGACATGCATTGGGGGGTTTTTGGGGTGTCCACAGAAGGGCTGTTAGGCTCTTCTTGGTCAGCTATGTGGAGCCAGTATGACGCTGCCTTAGAAAGCATTTTATGGGAGGCCTGAGGTGAAGTCAAGCTCTTCTTGTGGCCAGTCCCACTGGCCTTAACAGAACCAGCCACAGGGGCCTCAGGACTGACTTTGCTTTTGCTGCTCAGTCTCTTTAGCTTAGGGCCACACTTGGGTTTCTGACAGTTGCTGAGTGTCTCCACTGGACTTTTGGGGGGCAGGTCTTTATTTTCCTGACTCTTCTGTATTGGAGAAGGACTTTTAGGCACAGCCACCCCCTTTTTGTGGCTGCTGTTCACCATATGGGCTTTGGAGCCAGGACTCATAGCCAGCATCGAGGACTGTTCCTTCTCAGATTTGTTCTGCGAATGTGTGCCTTGGCCATTTTTATTTATTTCTTTAAACCAGGCCATGATGGGCCTCCTGGAGATTGTTTTTGGTTTCTGTAGCAAGTCATCCAGGTCATGACTCTTGGCAATGTGTAGGTTTGCCAAAACAGCCTCTCCGTTCTTAGGGCCTTTGGCACCGAGGGCATATGCACTGTGAATCACACTAGCGGCGGCTGCTGCTTCTTCCTTTGGGCTTCCCTCATCCAGCAGGTCACGACCCAGGCCGTTTATCACATTCAGGTTCCTAAGCGTGAATGGCGGGTTGTGACAATGCCTGGTCATTTCAGAAGGCTGGCCGTCTCCCTCGACTGAGCTCTCGCTGGTGGTGCTGGTGACGGCTTTGATTTCGTCTGTGCTCGAGGGCCTGGAGCTCTGTAAAGCACGTGTGCCCACCCACGTCTCATGCTCCTGAGAGTTTAGAAAGGAAAGTGGCCGAGAAGAGCTCGGGGCGGAGGTGTGAGAGGCCCCTGGCAAGAAGCAGGCCCGTTCACAGGAATCGCCCACTGGCTCACCCAGAGCTCTGTGCTGTACCGGTAGAACCGGGCAGAACGCAGCCTGGGTGGCAGGATGGGCGGCCACCCGGCTCTCAGGGAGACCGCTTGTGGCGCAAATTTCTATTTGCTCATCCTCAGACTCACTAGTCCCTTCCTTATGGGAGGACTCGTGAGAATGAAGGGGTGACCAGCTGGTCCTGGAAGCTGCTTGTGGGGCTTCAGCAAGAGACTCGGGGTCTGAAGATGAGTCTTCAGCATCACCATACATGGATGAGAGCGACGGCTCCGTACTGTCACCTGGGCCTGACAGGGAGATGCTGTCTTCATGGAGACTGCTAAAATTTCTAGAGTAGTTGTTCAGAAAGTTTTTGTTCACAGCAAAATGTTTGTCAGGGTGGATGGAATCCAAAACGGAAGGCTGGAAGGCCCACTGTGGGGGCGGGGGTGGGCCTGTGCCCCCAGTCTTCCTTGGGGAGGATATTTGGCCGCTGCTGACTGTCTGGGCATGGTGGGAACTGCCACCCCCAGATTCACCTGGTGGCTGGCCCTCAAGAATGCCCTGGTGAGCCCTGCAGTCTGCTTTCTGAGGAGACTGAGACCTTGCCTCAGACGCCTCCCTGATGAAGTTGTCAATGTCTGTCACAGGGCTCTCTCTGCTTCCTGACGGCATCCTGTCAGTCAGGGTCACTGGCAGAGAGGGGCTGGCATGTGATGTCTTTCCAGACATAGAAGTTGCACCTTCATGCAGAGCGCCGTCCTTCGAGCATTTAGCTGTGCAGAGTCCTGTTGTTTCCAGTGCCTCACTGGGACCTGAGGGGCCTCCACTCTCTTCCTGGGGCACCGAGGAGACATGAGGGATGGCAGTAGCTGCCGTTGTTCCTATGCCCATGGGGACAGCTGCTCTCCTGGTGTTGGGAGAGCAGTCCCCAGGTGGAGCCGGAGCCCTGATAAAGTCAGGAGGAGATGAGGCCTTCTCCCTGGTAGACACACTCAGATGGCTGACTGTCTTCATTTTAGATATGCCCTGGGGCTCAGGCTCCGAGGTCCTGGGAGACACAGGCTGGCTGAAGCTCTCAGGCTGGTGGCCTTGCTCTGTGATGACTGAAGTCTTGCTGGAGTCAGGATGAGCTTCCCTGCTCTTCCCTGGGAAAGGGAGGCGGTCTGAGGAAACATCCCATCCTGGAGAGGGTGGTAGGGGAGAAAAAAGGGAAAACGTAAGCAAATAGAACCCCTGGAGAGTTCTAAAAAGAAGCATAAGTCATCTCAATATCGTTTCTCAGACGTGCCACAAGCCTACATGCAGACTTTCTCATCCTCCTGTTTGTCTCTCAAGTTGCAGATTGCTTACATTTAACAACCACTGGCCTGCTTTAATTGCCTGAAAATAACCCAGTCAGGATGAGCCCGGAAACTCGCCCATTTTCCTCTTCGTTTGTTTTCAGATAGGAGACACCGGAAATAGACTGCTTGGATTTCTTTACCCGACCACCTCTGCTGGCAGAAGTTCTGGGAAGAGAGACATTTGGGGTCTTATTCCTTAGCTCTGGTCAAGACTGGACAGAGGGACCTCATGTCTTGTCTCATTCTAGCATCTAGCTGCCTGACCATGAGTGACACAGGCTGCACCAAGAAACAGTTTGGAGATGGTCTCTCTGTATAGTCCTGGTTGACCTCACACACTCTGACTCTCCTCACTCAGCCTCCATGACAGGTCTGTGCCTGCACACTTGCGGAGGACATGTGCGATCTCCTTTTTTTGCATAGGAGACAGAGTTAGTGGGAATGACAGAATGTTCCCTGTAGCATCTGCATGACACAGGGCTCTAGCTCTGCCTTGACGTAGCTTGGAGAAGCAAATCTGAAAGCCAGCTATTCTAGGAGAGCTCGGTACTAAAGGGTACCTGAGAGGGGCTCATGAGGGACAGTTTGGTCCAAGTGGTGTGAAGAACAGGTTGAAAGTAGAGAGGTGCCAAGAACACAATGCTGAAAGATGCAGGGGCAGGAGCTCCTGTCACTTAGCAGGGAGGATTCTGGGAGCTGTTCTGTCCTGGAGGGGGTCTTCCCGGAAAGCCCTGAGGCACGAAGTCTCTTGAGCTAATCTCACTTTGATGTGATCATCTTGCAGTGGGGAAACGGGCTCAGACACACAAAAAGTCTTAGTCTGAGACATGTTGCCCCAAATGTTAAGTTCCTCTCACATCTCTCCTATGAGATCATCAATCTGTTTTTGTTTGTTTGTTTCTGAGACAAAGTCAGGTTCAGGTTGGCCTTGAACTTGCTCTGTCACTGAAGGTGACCTGAACTACTGGTGTTGCTACTCCCAGTGCTGAAATGAGATTACAGGTCTGCACCACCTGTGCCCAGCTTACGTGACGCTGGGGACCAAACCCAGGCCCTGTGCTTGCTAAACAAGCAGTCTACCAACCAGTTCAGGTACATCTGAAATGGTATGATTTTAATCACAACTTCTTTTTTCTGTTTTGGTGATGCTGAGCGTTTGAACCTAGGGTCTTGCACGTGCCAAGCACACACTCCACCACTGAGCTCTCAGCTCGCTCTCTTTAAGACAGAGGCTCACTATGTAGCCTCCGCTAGCCTAGAACTTACAACATGTGTTGTAAACCAGGCTGGCCTCCAACACAAAGAGACCCATCAGTTTCTGTCTCCTGAGCACTGGGATTAAAGTTTTATAGTTTATAGCACTGGTCCAGGCCAGTCAGTCAGTCCTTTCTTCCTTTCTTCTTTTCTTCCTTCCTTCCTTCCTTCCTTCCTCCCTCCCTCTCACCCTCCCTCCTCTCTTCCTTCTTTCCTGCCTCCCTTCCCCCCTCCCTCCCTTCCTTTCTTTCTTTCTTTTTAAAATTACATCTATTTAGCCAGCCAGTGGTAGTGCACACATTTAATCCTAGGACTTAGAAGGCAGAGGCAGGCAGCGCTGAGTTTGAGGCAGCCTGGTCTACATCGTGAGTTCTAGACAGCCAGGGCCATAAAGAGAAACCCTGTCTCAAAAAAACAAAACAAACAAAGATTTTATCAATTTACTATGTACGTGTGTATGTATGTATGTGTGTATGTGTATGCGTGTGTACAGCATCTACATGTGGAGGTCAGAGGAACAATTTGCAGGAGCTGGTCCTCTCCTTCTACCATGTAAGTACTGGGGAGTGAACTCAAGAATCAAGTTTAGCGGCAAGCACTTTACCTACCTTTCCCGAGTGTTTGTGACATCTCGGGCTCGACATCCTTACTTCTGGTGATACCAAATGCAGAGGAGAGTGGCATTGTGACACGAGGAAAGCACTCCAAGGCCATTTTGAAAAGACCATTTATTGTTGTATGTGAGTGTGTGCGCATGTGCGTGTGTGTAGGTCACAGAACAACTTATAGGAGTATGTATGTCCTCTCCTCTCTCCACGTAGGTTCAGGGATCCAATCCATTGAGCCATATCTCTGGCTGCCAAGGGCTTTTTCACAGTTTCAGGTTTACTTACTAAATAGTCTCGGTCAGGTAAATTTTTGTGCAGTCTTTGCTAGAGAGCTGAATTACTGCAAAGTGTGCATCTTCAAATCTTTATTATTAATCAGTTAATTTTTAAGGCATGGTCTCAGGCTAACCCTGGACTAACTATGTATGAGGACAACCTTTGATGTCCAGTGAGCCACCTCACTGCTCCCAGCTCATGTGATACTTTGATACTGGGTTTCAGTAAGTTGCTCAAGGCAAGCCTTGAACTTGCCACCCTCCTATCTTGGCCTCCTGACTGGCTGAGATTATAGGTTTGTGTCACTAGGCTTGGCTTTAATTACATCTCCTCCCCCCCCCCCCACACACACCCTGCTGTCCCTTTATGAATAATTACAACCTAATTCTTAGGACTCAGCATTGGGCTGGGAGCTTTTCCTGGAATGAAGTGTTAGCGCCATATTAGGAGACTTTCATGCAGTTAATTTTCCTCCCAGGAATGGGAGGCGGGCCCCGTGCCTTGAGAGAACGAGGAAGGGAGTCATTGAGTGGTTAGGCAACCTAAGATCACAGTTCACAGATGGGAGAGCCAGGATTTGCTCCACAGCCTGTGTTGTACTGACCCTGAACCCCGTGGCCTCCATGTAGAGTGTGTGGCAACAACAAGGGTGGTTCATCAAGATGCCTATGGAGATGGCATGTAATTACCTTGGCCTGCTGTGGAGGGCCAGATGCTTCCAAGAACACCTGCTGACCCAGGTGTTCCTCTGTTCAACTACTGAACTCTCAAGCATTGCATTCTTGCTTCTGCTGACGCCCAATGCGGGGGAGAGTGGCAGTGTGACCACAGGAAGGGACTCAAAGGCCATTTTGAAAAGACCATTGATTTGGTGTGTGTCACAGGACAACCTGTGGGAGTATGTTCCCTCCTTTCAGGATGTGGATTCAGGGATCTAATTGACTGAGCCGTATCTCTGGCTGCCAAAGGCCATTTAACACTTTCAGATTCGCTTACTAAACATTTGCTAACAGGCAAAAATTTCTGCAATTTCCGTTAGTGATCTGAATTACTGCAAAGCGTGTATCTTCTAAGGTTTGTTTACGTATTTAGTATTTGAGGCAGGTTCTCCTGTATCCCAGGCTAACCTGGAACTCACTATATAGTAGAGGGTGACCGTGAATTCCTAATCCTCCTCTTTCCACTTCTCAAGTGCTCAAATTATAAGCATAAGCCACCACATCCAACTCACGTGATGTTGGGGGATCTTCATGCTTCCCAGGAAAGCACCCCACCACTCCCCAGCCCCTGCAGACGGCTTTGTTTGAGGGAGGCTGCGCTGTACTGCCTTTCAAAAAAAATGCTTCACTTGGAACCCCCACCAAATGTCCACTAATGGGCACGCCCCAGGGTGGAAGGCCCAGCTAGCCTTGACGACACATCATGTCAGGGTTCGGAAAGCCTGGAATGCAGGTGCAGTTTCTGCTGGAGCAGGCTGCTACGCAGCTTAGTCATCAGGGTCAAGCATGACCTGCCACGCCACACCTGTCATGCCACACTAGCTGCCCGAATATTGTTTTCTGCGGGCACCTGAGGCTGAGAAGTATGTTAGGTACCATACTTTGTTTGTCAAGACAGGGTTTCTCTGTGTAGCCATGGCTGTCCTGGTCTCGCTTTGTGGACCAGGCTGGCCTCAAGCTCACAGAATTTTGCCTGCTTCTGGCTCCCTAGAGTGCTGCGATTACAGGTGTGCACCACTGCGCCCAGCTCTCTGCTGGCCTTTTAACTGAGAAAGAGAATGAAAACAGCATAAAAAGATAGAAGCACTAAAAACTGTCGGGTTAATTTATACCTCCAAAGCCCTAGAGGGCGCCAGAGCACCACTGTGCCAATTCGCTGAGGCTCCTTTCTAAGAACTCACTGATAACCAGCACAGTATGTTTTATTAAGGGTATTTATGTATTAAATATAGCATGTGTATTGTTACATATTGAATATCATCAGTTTCTGGTGCTTGGTGGCTCCTTTAAAGCTTATTACTGGTGGGAAGTCCAGAGAGGACAAACAGAAGCCTGCAGCGGGCTGGAATTTGAGACAGAACAGGCAGAAAACACTGGGGAAACACGGAACACGCACCTTTCTTAGGCTCGGGCTGGAGACTAAATGCTTCTCTGGTCCAAAAAGCTTGCCCATGTAAACACTTCCTCAAGGCACAAAACCCTCAGGACTAGGAAAATTAGTCTGTCTAGAATAAATCCTTGGGCGGGTAGATTTTCTGCATTGTTTCAAATAAGGAGGCATTGGGTTGTGGTGATAACAAGAAAGTAAGCCTTTGCTGTTCTTCAATTCTGAGGGCAATGTGGGTTCCAGGAGGACGTCCAGAGGATAGCTCTGCAGACCGTGCACGCTTAGGATATAGGCGCTTGTGTCAAAAGAAGAATGATATCCTGAACGGCCTCCCCGTAACTTCACTTTCCTCAAATGGAACGCCGTGTAGTTCACACACTTCTGCAGTAAAGTCAAATTGCTAATGAAAATTGTCCTTTGACATTTATTTATTCAATAGTGGGTGGTTGTGAATTGAACTTGAGGGTGGAGCAGGAGCCGTGGTAACAGACACATCCCTGACTGAGGATGGAGGAGCTACAGAGTGCTTCAGTGGTCTGCATTTTTTTCCCTGTCAGCAGTCAACAATGTGTAGGTAGGAGGTAGGTGTGGTGTTGTGCCTGTGACTCAAGCACCCAGGACTGACTGAGGCAGGGAGCTCACAAGTTCCAGATCAGTGTAGGCTAGACAGTGAGACCTCACCTCAAAAAAGGCCTGGGGTGAATAGTCTACGATTCTGAATTTTAAATCTGTAGGACATCCCTGAGCTGGTGAGCTCAGTGGGTAAAGGTACCTACCTACCGTCAGCCTTCAGACCTGAGTTCAATGCCCAGGAGAGAACTGTCCTGTGACCCTGACATGTGTGCATGCCCACACAAACACACACACACATACATGAGCGCACATACACACACATCTACACACACACCTCTACACACACAATAAGTAAACAATAAATAAATAAAATGTAATAATTTCATGGGACAGCCTTGACAAGGGAGCTACCTCGTTTTTCTATTGCCGCAGACCACTAACACTTCAGTGGCTATCAGGACATCACATTAACTACCAGCTGCTACGAAAAAACTGTTCTTCTACCAAGAAGGCAGCAAAGTCACTTAATTCAGCTTGACTTAAAAAAAAAAAATCTCGAGCCATGATTTCTGCTTCCATGCCATCAGTATGTCTCTCATCAGGCTTAGATCATTTCCCCCACATTGCTATAGTTATCTATCTATCTATCTATCTATCTATCTATCTATCTATCTATCTATCTCTTTTCCTTGTGGAGGTTTTTACACTGCTACTTCTCAGTGCACTTCATATAAGCAAACAATGGAGATTCTGATAAAAAAAAAATCTGATTTCTTATGTTTCATCTGTGTCATAAAATAAAGACCAAACATGGATTTGTCAACGTGGAATATACATGGGGGCTGGGCACAGTGATGGGGTTGGGGGCTGGGCACAGTGATGGGGTTGGGGGCTGGGCACAGTTGATCAAGGGCAACGATTTCATGATGTCAACATCTAACTACTGATTTCCCTAAGTGGCTTCTCTTCCCTCCTCAAAGTTACCTTCTTGTAGTACGTTTTTTAGGATGTGTGTTTCCTGTCTCAATGGAACCAACAAGAACACAGTCTTACCAGTCTCAGGGCGTGGCCCACACTCTGGAGCAGCTCCCTGCAGGCTCTCTGTGGGGAGTCCAGGGTTTGGGTGGCATGGGGTACTGGCTGGTCCACAGTTGGTGGGGGCATAGCTGTCCCCTGGGGTGGGGTTTTCCCAAAGTTCCTGGCACAATGAGAAGCAGAAACCATGTTAATTGCTTTTCAGGGTTTCTGCATCCTAAGACAGCATCTAGCAGCAGAGAAGAATCAGGTTGGGGGCTGGCAGATCTGGGCTTTGAGACCTCATCCCTCAGCCACAAATTTTTCAGCTTTCAAATGGGGATTAAAAAGACTTGCCAAATCTCAAAAGTTTTAAAGAAAAGATGATTAAATGAGAGTAGCTATAAAAACAGCAGGGAAGGTTTATACAGGAGGGAGGTGTCTTCCTACAAGTCTGACAGTGAGGGAGAGGGCAAATTGGTAGAAATGAAACCGGTGTGTGGTATTTCAAGATCTCCCTTAGGCCAAGTGTCAATTACTTTATCTTCCTTTCTCTCAGCACAAAAACAAATTTAAAACTTACTGAAAAGTCCAATTGTATTTATTCAAAATAATTCCACTGAGCTGATGTGTCATAAAGCGGCCCAAAGGTGGCAGCAGGCAGGGGTGTGTGAAGATAGGATGTGTCTTTCCCTACTCTTGTTAAAACTCTTGGCATGAACCGTCAGTCACAGTCTAAGGGAAGTGTAGTGTTTAACTCAGTTACGTTTCTGTTTACTGCTAAGGGAAAAAGGGAAACATAGGAGCAGCAGGAGTGGGAGCTGACAGAGGGAGAGTAGAAGTGCCCTTGAAGTGTGTATTTTAAGATGGGGGGGAGGGCTCAGGAAGAGTGCGCGCTGTGCACACAGGACAGCCCAAGTTCAGACCCAGCACCCATGCAGAAAGGTGTGCCGTTCACACCTGTAGCTCCAGCATCGGGACTTCTGCTGAAAACCAGCATGCTTCAGTTCAGCGAGAGACCCTGTCTCAAGGGAAAGAGGCAGACAGCGACGGAGCCATCCTCTGGCCTATGCAGATGCGGTACACACACACACACACACACACACACACACACACACACACACTACCACCACCAGTAACAACAACAAATACCACATCACAATTTTTTTTTTTTTAAAGTGCTGAATAAAAACAATAGAAAACACCGAAAGAGAAGACATTTGCTTTGGTTTTCTGCTTCTCATTATCTGAGTGATACATTCTACTCTCTTCATCATAAAGTCAAGTTTTTTATAACTAAAATTTTATGAGGAAAAACATTTCAAATAAAAGTGTTACTCAAAATCTCCCTGCCACTTTTCAACATTTAATTAACCAATCAATCAAGTAATTAATTTTTTAAAGGACAGGATTTCTCTGTGTAGCCCTGACTGTCCTGGAACTCACTGTGTAGACCAGGCTGGCCTTGAACTCAAGCTCTGCCTGCATCTGCCTCCTGGGTGCTAGGATTAAAGGTGTGTGCCATCACTGCCCTGCCTCCATTTTAAAAGGTTTTATTTATTTTTATTTTGTGTTTCTGAGTGTGTGTCTGAAAGCATGTCTGTGCGCCTCATGCCCTCAGAAGCTAAGAAGTGGGCACTGGATCCCCTGGGGCTGACGTAACAGAGGTTGCAAGCTGACAGGTGGGTGCTGGGAGCTGAAGCTGGGTCACCTGGAGACTCCCCAGTGCTCTTAATGGCCGAGCCATCTCGCCAGCCACTCAAACGTCCTTGCTGGGGTGGTGAAAGGCCTTCCTCCAAGCCTGACAGCCTCAGTTTGATCCCCGGGATCTACACAGTGAAAGGAGAGAACGGACTCCTTCAAGTTGGCACTGACTGCTACACTTGCAGCATAGTATATGTGTGAGTGCGTGTGTTTGTGTGTGCGTGAGAGAGACAGAGACAGAGAGGATATGCACACACTAAATACAATTAAACACTACTTGCCCCTGTGTAGATCTGTGTGTTTGTGTTGACAAAGGATCTCATTTGTAGGACAGCTTACATGGCAGATGTCATCCCATCTGGCAAGGACTATTTTTAATACACATGAGTAATTATGAATAAATATTGTGATCTGCCTTCTATGGTTGTCTAAAACTTATGGTGAGCCTGTGTTTGGGGGGGAGGGATAGAGTGCCGGGACCGAACCCAGGGCTGTGTGTGAGCATACGCGCCAGGCCAGTACTGTGCCGCTGAGCTGCGGGTTCTGCCCTGATGATACTTTCTAAAAGGAAAGAACACACCCACTAGCCGCATTTACTGTAAAACATGAGCTGCCTGAAGGTAAATATAATTTGTGAGGAGAGGAGAAAATATGAACGCATAAGATTAAGGAAAAAAAAAAAAACAAACCCTTCTACCTCATGCAGATTTTATGAATCTATTTATACATCCACTTTAAATCACAATAAACTAGCTTCATTAATGTGCCCTAAAAATCAGATTCTGTGCCCAGAGATTGAGCAGTTTCTTCTTTCCCCTCTTTGCTAGAGAAGAGATATACTGAAAAAATTAAGTGAAGAATTAGATAACCAACATACAAACAATTAGTAATATCAATTAACTTGCGTTTGCTTGTGGTGTACTGTAAGTTTTAAGTGGACACAGCCCTGTTATTTTGTGTGATGTTATCTTAGTTCCTGTTTTCTTTTATTGAGACAGGGTATCGTTACGTAGCTCGAGTTAGCCAGAGCTAGCCTGAGCTAGCCTCAAACTCATCAAATCCTCCTGCCTCCACCTCCTAAGCGCTGGGATTACACATATGCGCCGCCACATCAGAAGGAACTATGTCGCTCTAAGCACACCTGTTCTTTAGGGGTCTTGAAGTAACCAAGGGTCCCTCCTAACGTCATTAGCTGACAGTTAACATCTGCTGGCCACGCCCCTCAGCCAGCCAAGGCAGACAGCAACCCTCTGCCTCACAGTCCAGAGAAGCTAGGCAGCTCAGGAAGGCTCAATGACTTGCCCATGCCATCACACAACTTGTGCCAGCTAGTGAGTGAACTGGCCCCCGGCCCAGGACTTTACTTCCCCCACTCCACAATGCCTTCCCGTCGTCATCGCTGGCCCTGTGCCCTGCTAAGGGAGGGAGGGCGTCCCCTTGCTGAGTGATCCCATGACTAACAGCCTGCCACCATACTAATGGGCACCCATTAAGTGACTGCTGAAAGCTAATCCTCCAGTCGTCAGCCTTTCATGCAGGTTACCCTGAGGTTTAGACGGCACTCTGTAGCCATTCCACAGTGTTCAGACTGAATGGTCGGAAGAGTGAAAGTGAGTCAGTTACCTTCTCTGCAGTTCCGCTTGGCTGATGACCAGCAACAGTATCTTTCAAGGAAGGGGCCTGGACTTTCAAGTCCTGACCACATGGTCCATTGGCTGTTCCACTTGGGGCCTCCTCAACATCAGACCTCTTGTAGTGTGGGCTGATCCTGGCCACAGGCTTGTGCCTGGACACCAGATTTTCATTCTTCTGTGGAGGGGAGGTAGGGTTTTCTGGGCTCCTTGGGCTTTGGGTGTCCATAGGAGCTCTGTATTCCAGCTTTGGTGAACTTCTTGACCCTGACATCTCCTTTCTCCCGGAGCCCCCTGGCCTACTCTTGGGGGTTTCTACAGAGCCTGGCAGGCTGGCTGCCTTGGGGGGAGCACCCAACATTCCATCCCGGACACTGTGCTCTAGGTCCAGGGAGCTGCCAAGCAGAGGCACGGAGCAGGCCTTGCTGACCAGTGGTTTCTGGGGCCGTTCCTCCCGCTTGCTCACATCGATACTTTTGCAAGAGGTCGTCAAGGCAGGCCTGGTGTCATCCTCTGTCGGAGGCCTGCTGGGGGCTGGGAGAACGCCTGGGAGTGAAATGCAGTCCCCCTCATCTTCAAAGTCTTCTCCATCACTGGCATCGTTGCCATCATAGCAGCGCACCCTCCTCTGGCGGAGAAGGGGGTTCCTGAGGACCTGTGGGCTTCCGGGGAGACTGGCTTGCCTGGCGACTGTCACCTGCTTGTGTAAGAGCCCAGAGGTCCTCTGGCTTCCAAGTGTCACCAGGCTGTTGGCCCTGGCTTTCCCTGGCTCCCTGTGAGCTGCAAAGCGTAGAGAAAGAAAAACATCAGGCAAAGAAAAACAGGTTTCCAATGTGGCCTGGCTTTATAACCTTAAAGAAATAAACCCCAGTGTTTGCTCTTCCAAATATACCCTCTCGATCAAGAGTAAAGTCTGCCTTGTCCAGCCACTTAAACCAATCCTGTCACAGTACATAAGTACTTTTGAAGTCATACACGGCCTCTGGCCCCTGGACATCCATGTAAACATGGCTTCTCATGGTCCAAATAGACTCTTGCTGCCCTCTCCGCCGACCTGTAAACATGCAAGGATTCTCCCATCTGCCTCTACTGCGATCACTGATTTCCACCTTTCCAAGGCTTCTAGAATCCAAACTCGCCCTTATATTTGTGCTTCAAGTACTTTATGTGCTGAGCCATCTCCTTGCCCTTGAGAACAACAAAACCCAACTCTAGGCTAGTTAACTTGAGTGGGGTGCTTTCTAGAGATGGAGAATTTATAGTGCGGCTCCATTTTGTTCTCATCATCTGAAGTCCCTTCCCTATCTTTAGCAAAGGGGCGTGGGACGCAACCCAAGCTGTCTACTTCTCAAGGTAAAAGGGCATCTTTGAGGCACGGTATGCACACAACTCTGCAAAACGTTTGCATGCGTTAGGTCCACACCGCCGTTCGAAGTACAGGGCTGCCATTTGCACACCCAACCGCAATTCCCCCGAGTCGTAGCTGCTGTCGTCTGCCCCGCTGAAGCTCAAACACTGGAGATGAAAAGGGAAACCTTGACAGCAAAAGTCTGAGAGCTCGATACAGTGTCAGATGAGCTCATTTGGACAGAGACTCGAGGACCCTTGAGTAGAAGTGACCTTTTGCTAACAGTGGCTCTCACGGCCCCACTTCTCTAACTTAGCGTTTTCCAAGAAGAATTGTGTTTAGAGCCCAGTGAGGGAGGAGATCTGAAATTTGCCTGGATTCCCTCAGTGCTGAGTGCCTCGGTTGCCTACTCTGATTTGATGCTACGACACTCAGAGACGATGTGCCATAAATAGCTTGTGACGGGGGCCTGGACGAGTGCCTTCACCTCTGGTTCTAGAATCTGTGTCCAGCCACTCTCTGTGGCACGAACACCACTAGTGGTTGGTCACCAATACGAGAGTATGCGCTGCCTCTACTCAGCCAGGCACATGGTGTCCAGCTCTGTTTCCTTGCTGCCCTCGGCAAGGCAGACGGCAGAGGACGCCAGCAGGGATAGGGAAACTAGTAATTCCTTATTACACTGAGTCTTGGGCCCCTGGGGCTCTCTTGCTCACCAGAGGGGACAGAAAGCAGGCTGCCATCCTCCGAGGTGTCACAGCCACTTCCAGTGTGGTCCTCATCCTCAGAGCCAGCTACCACGAAGTCCGACAGGGAGCCCTGCCCATCATGGGCAAAGTACTGGGAGAACTCAGATTCAGAGAGGAGTGAGTCCTGTTGGAAAAGAACATGCTGGAATCTAGAGCCAAGAGTATAGCAATGTTTAAGACTTCCCATCTTTTCAGGGGCACGTCGTTCTAATTCCTCATCAGTGGGGACAGCTGTGAGGGGAACCACCCATCTCCATTTACTGTACGGTGGCTCGGGTGACAATCAATACATCAAAACATGGGCCAGATACTGTTTTCAGATTGCTAAAATGTGGGGGCATACTTTTAGCAATCACCAGAAAACAAACAAACAAAGAAACAAAAAAAAAAAACCCCAAAAAAACAGCAGGAAAAATTAATTAATTTATGGGCATTGGTTTCTTTGCTTGCATGTACGTCTGGGATCCCCTGGAACTGGAGTTACAGACAGTTTGAGAGCTGCCGTGTGGGTCCCAGGGAATTAAACCCAGGTCCTCTGGAAGAGCAGCAGAGCAACCCATGGTCTTAACCGCTGAGCCATCTCTCCAGCTAGCCCTTTCCACAGTAGTTTATCAACCACCTCAGCAGAACAAAAACAAAACCACTGCCAAGAGGGACAGGAAAAGAGTATGAAAAATCCAAGTCATATGGCTTAACCAATGAACTACCTGGTGGTGGGGTCGGGTGGGGGGTTGCGCAGTCTGAACCCTGACCCAGTGGGACTGATGTGCCCAGTATCCTGACAGCTTCAAGATCTCCAGAACCTAGGCTGTCATTATTACGTAGGAAGTGCTTTGAAAGGCTTGGGGTTTTTCCTTTTCTGCTCTGCTCTTTTCTTAGATGAGTACTGATTGAGATTAAGATTGAGAGAGAGACTGACTTTTTTTGGGTGTTTGTTTTCCGAACAGGAATAGTTGCCACTTCCTTGTATAAAGTGGCCAAAAGGATTCGTGGGCAGAAATACGGGCTGGGGTCTGGGGCTTGACTGACAGGCTCCTAAATATTGGTTTGTGGTCCCCAAATGCATTTTGACTCACCTTTTTGGCAAGAGAGGGACTCTTCAAGGGGGTACCTGTGTGGGAGGGATTTGCAAAGCTGTTAACATGCGGAAGTTCCAGTGACAAGCAGGCTCACATATTTCACCGAAAAAGGAAGGGGCCAAGCACATTCAACAAAACTGTCCTTTGCCTGAGTGTCACCAATGAGCTGGGTAGCTACCCCCACATCTAGTCTACCTGGATAACCCTCTATCCCAGCCGACTGCCCTCCCTCAAGACTCCACTCATTCACCGGGCAGGACCCTGGCTCTGCCGCCGCCCCCGCCGTCCCCCACTGTCTTCTCTGATGCATAGCTCAACGGCTGTGCACGCAGGACAGTTTAACGTGAGTGGATCTCTGCATCTCCCCTTTCCACTGCTCAACAGCCCACAGGGCTAGGGCGTTGCCTACATACAACACCTGCTGTCTGCTAAGTACCCAGTGACCTTTGGTAAATGGCCAGAAGGACGGTACAAGTGAACCACATCCAAGAAATTTATGAAAGAACCAGGGAAGTGTTTGGATGTCGATTTTACTTTTTAGCTAAAGGGTGGAGAGCTCAGCCTGCAGACTTCAAATTACATGTCACAGGCAAAAGAGATTTAGGGCATGAGAATTCCAGCTTTAAAAAAAAAATCTTTGCTGACCAATCAAGTAGAAATGTTGGGATGAAGAGAATCCAGCGTTCAGGCTAAATAAAGAGCATATTATGGCTGAGTCTACTTTAAATATATTAATTATGGATGCAAATCATCAGGGATTTCACGGTTGTCCCAAATCCTATTCCTTTTCCTCTGACATCCAGTAACTTATATCTCTGAGTTCCTTTTCCTCCTGGGCATCAATCTGAGTGTGAGAAGTCTCTCACCAGGTGAGCAGCGGCTGTAGACTCTCTCCTAGGTTTCCACACCAAGGAAACCACTCCAAAACTCAATACAATGCTTCAAATTTGTAAGAAACACGGAGGAGGACCACATTTTTTCCCTGCCTGAACATTTCCATGCAAGGAGAAAAACTCAAGAGTTGTTGCTGCCTCCAGAAGCGAACTAGAGGCAGTTCGTACTGAAACTTCTAAATCCACACAAAAAAATCTCAGTATTTGGATACATAATACTCATGTATTACTCATAGTTTCATGTAAAATCTCCTCTATCTATATATTTCAAATGGGTCATGGAAACTCATAAACGGCTATTAACTTACTTTTTCAAATTATTTGAAAGTCATATAAACAGCATGATTAGTTAGGCCTTTAATGAAACACATTAAATAATTGCAGAAATCAGAAGGAACCGAGAGAGAGCATAGACTCTGACCGAAGCTGTCACTAGCCCCAGTAATTACAGAGGATCCATGCCACTGTGTGGGGAGGGCCTGTGGGTGAGCTTAACAGGAGGAGCCTTTCCTCAATGGTGAACGAGGACATGCATTATCCATACCTAAGCCAGGTGAGGAGTTGCTTTCTTTGCTCTCCTGGTAGGTGCTGCGTGCTATCACTTCATCCATCTCCTGCTCAGAAACCTGATTTCCAGCAGAAAGCACAAATTAGGTGTTTTTATGTATTTATTTCCCACCAATAAAAAGCTAGGCTGAGAGGGTCAGAGACTGGAAACACCTTAGAAGAGGAACTCAGAAAACCTAAGTCCAGCTGAGTGATGGATGGCATCAATGTCTACACAACGAGACCACCAACTCATTACCAAATTTGCTGTATCTTCCCCTCTCTAGAACACTTAGTTCTCATTCTTCTTAAAGAGCTTAGGGTCAGGACGGTGAAATGGCTCAGCAGGTAAGGGTGCTTGTTGTCAAACCTGACAACCTGAGTTCAATCCCCAGGACCCCCTGGCAGAAGATAACTGATTCCTGAAAGTTGTTATCTGGCTTCTCCACTTGTACACAATCCCACACACATACACACATAATAAATAAATGCAGTTTAAAAATTAAGAATATTGGCTAGGTGGTGGTGGCCAAATCGGTGAAAGCCTTTAATTAAAGGCACACACCTTTAATCCTAGCACTCAGGAGGCAGAGGCAGGTGGATCTCCAGGGCTACACAGAGAAACCCTGTCTCAAAACACTAAAATAAATAAATAAATATTAAAAATTAAGAATATTTTTTAAAAAAGACACTTGGGGGTAGCAAGATGGCTTAGCAGATAAAGGTGCCTGCCATAAGCCTACGATCATGGATTCAGTTCTTGGGACCAGTATGGTAGGAGAGAATTAACTCTGACCTCCACATGTACACCTACACAAAAATAAAATGTAAATTAAAAATTTACTCTAACAAAAATCTGTAAAATATGCAAGAACATTGTAAGACTATTGTCCTACATGTCTAAATTCACTACTTTTAAAAGATTTCTTTATTTTACGCAGAGGGCCTAAGATCCCTTAGGACAGGAATGACAGACAGTTGTGAACTGTGTGTGCTCAAACTTATCCTGGATCTTTTGCAAGAGAAACCAGTACACTTAACCACTGAGCCATCTCTTCAGTCTCCCAAATTAATTTTTAACACCTCATCACATTTATGGCATTCCTTCTCTTTTTGCTAAATTGTTTGCAAGCTGTAGCTACTGTGATCTGTTGCTTGTAAATGCTTAATAATGAATCTCCTGGAGGCAAAGCTACCCCATCAAGTCGCCACGGTGCTTTTGGCAGATGCAGGAACTATAGAGTGTCTAGGACACTCTATATCTATGCTGCTCTAACATCATCTTCTGAAGTCCTGCTCTAAAGCAGACTGCAGCTAGTCCCTGGGACACCGGCCTGTGCAGGGACAAGGACTTTCCTCCAAAAGGCAAATCAGCATGCAACTTCCTCCCGAACTAAACATGCACAGTAAGTTACAGAAGGATTTACACTCCAGTGTGCCATGTCACTCAACTTCATTTAGCCCTGCTGTGAACCCTGTGTCCCGGTTTTGTCATTTTATAGGGAGATTGATACTGGCTGTCCAGGACCTAGCTGCCAGGTGTCTTCAGTCCCCCTTCACCCCCCCCCACCCCCCCCCCCCGCCCAAAAGACAAAGTCTCACTATGTGGCTCTGGTTGACTCACAGATATCTGCCCACCTCTGCTTCCCAAGTTCTTCTAAAATCTGAACCTATACATAGTCTTTTGTCTTTTTTGTGTGTGTGGTTTGTTTTAATTATTTATTTATTATTTATATAGTATTTCTCTCTGCATATGTGTCTGCACACCAGAAAAGGGCACCAGAACTCATTGTAGTTGGTTGTGAGCCACCATGGATTGCTGAGAATTGAACTCAGGACCTTTGGATGTTCAGCCAGAGCCCTTAACCTCTGAGCCATCTCTCCAGCCACCACCACCCCTTGTCTTTCAAGAAAATGGTGCTCAATGGGAGGCCAAGATAATTGAAGCAGTTTATTAGCATCTGTCTGTTGTTGCCTCCTGCTCAGCTTCGGATTCTGTTTTGTGTGTTTGTTCAGAAAGGCTACAGAAATGGGTTCCCCTTCAGTCTCTCAGGGGCCATGCACTCTACAACTGGATACAATGACTTCGATCTCTGTTACACTGGAATGAGCCAGACTTTTCTCCTGGAATGTTTGTCATCAGAGGGTCTGTATGGAGAGAGTTTGAGACAATACAAGTATCCTTCACCTGTATACATGTATACATTTGTATGTGCAATATTTTCTAAGTCAGCATACACAGTATCGGGCCTCCTCACAGCAGCTTTCATTTTAGCATTAATGATTTTTGTGGAAGCACCATTATTATGAAGTTCTTTTAAAAAATGATTTGTGTAGTTCTTTTATTCTTTCTGTATTTATTAATACAGTGGTCTATCCAGGGAATTCTTTCCCCACTGTTATCCTGTTCTTTTAAAAAATCCTTTAATTTATTCTGATTTTAAAGTGTTTCTGTGAGTACGCACCTATGTGTCCCGAGTGGAGGCCAGCCGCTGAGCACTACACGTCTTCCTCTGCCACTCTGTCTTGTTTTTGAGACAGGGTCTCTCACTGGACCCAGAGCTCAATGATTGGCTAGGCGGAATGACCTCATGACAGGGGTCCGTTTGCCCCCCCCCCCCCCCCCCGCTCAGCATTGGGCTTACAGAGGTGCGTCTGGAGTTGGGGGTGGTGGGACTCTGAAACCAGTCCTTGTGATTGTACAGCTGGCACCTGACCCACTGAGTTATTTCCCTGGACCCTAACCATTATCCTTAACTGTCAGTATTCATGGGAAATGTCTTTATAAAAACTTTATAAAACTATGATGCTATTTCAAAAGATAATTGAACACTTAGTGTCTGTTTCAAAGATATTTAAACTTAGGATGACAATTTTGTATACTAAAATAATATTTAACATAAATCCTATTTGGATAAGAATGTGGGCTTGTCTTGATAAATAAATACAGGGCTTACCCTAATAGACGAATGAGTATCACATCACATCACAGCCTTTATGTAATACTTTAGGGAGGGTATAACAGAAAATAAAATACATACACTTACATACACACACATACACACACTCACTCTGTTCCACAAAGCAAAATGTAACCATACAAACAAGCCAGGGGAAATGTCAGCATCAACAATGGTGTTTTTCTTGAAAATAGACTTTCAATATTTGCAACTGTTTTTCTGAGCAGCAGAAAAGCCAATTTCTGACGTCCCCTCCCCCCTTTTCCTATTTCACATGAGTGAGAAGCTGCTCTAACAAGCCCACATCTTAGCTGTCTAGACCTGGAAGGGTCGAATATCCCAGCTGGGCAGCCACCGATCCACACATCAGGAGAAGCAGGAGAGGAGAAAATGCTGCGGTGTTTCTCTTGGAACCACACAAAAAACTAAGGCAGCGCATACATTCTGTATCAGAATGTCCTCTTGGCAAGGAATGCTGAATAAGTGGTACGAAAATACATTAAAGCTAAGATGGGATCTCGACCAGAAGAAAAATATAGTATCGTGTGGCAAGCAAGAACATCATGTTTACCCGGGAAGAAACGCGAAGGCCGGTCCACTACTGAAGTGTGGCTTTGCTGGGCACATCTCCAGCATATCACAGACTGTTTTACTGGGGCTGGACAAACAAATCCATTTGTGTGTTCAATGGGGGCTTAGACCACCCGTCCGTACGGTGATTAGGCTTTGCACTGAAATACTGTTTTGGTATGGGTCATGTTGGCGAAAAGCGTTTGGGCTGAGATGAAGCAGGCTGAACAAATCACCATCCTGGAGGTCAGATATGCCTCGAGGCCAGTGGCGTACATTTCTTAATGCGAGCTGGGGGTTGGGGGTATTAGGTCAACTACAGCATGCTGGACAGTGTACTGAGGTGAAAGGAGGTGATGCCACTGCTGCAGTCTAAGTGGAGGAAGAAGCTGGGAACCGCTCTCACTTGCTGGAATCACAGGGCAAAATGGCGTTCAGTGTGACCCAGGGAGAACTATAGGGACAGCAGCAGAAAGAATTTACAAAGTAGAACAGATTCTAAATCAAAATCTTAAAAAAAAAAAAAATTATCAGGGAAGGCATTCTGAGAATGCATGTAGATAAAGCAAGCTAGTAAAACCTAAAACAAACAGCAGCAGCCACCAGTCAAGGTCCTCACCACTGTCACCACACCCTGGGCTAAGACTTACAGCTTGTCAGTGCTTATCCGCATAGGGCAGGACCAATACTACAAAAGAATATCACTCAGTGCACGCCTTTAATCCCAGCACTTGGGAGGCAGAGGCAGGGGAATTGCACCTGGTCTACAGAGTGAGTTCCAGGACAGCCAGAGCTACACAGAGAAACCATGTCTTGAAAAAACAAACAAACAAACAAACAAACAAACAAAAATTTAAAAGCAACTGTACAAGGGCGAGAAGACCAAATAGTTTCTATGGGTTAACAGTTGAATAGGTAATTTCAATTTTTTTAAAAAATTAGTAAGCTCTTAGATCTTAATTACAGAAGCATCTCTTAAGGTCAGAAGGGGATGTTTCTTTAAACAGTTCTCCCATCTGTCTAAACTCTTCCCACATTAATATAACAATTGCCTTTTGTTGGCATGGGGGACTGAAAGTTTGATGTGAGGTAGTGACTGTCACTCACAGACATAAGTATGTTCCCGAGTTGGTAGAATCTGTGATGTCGTCATAAGACTCCATGGACTTCGGGTCCCTTCTCAAGAGACTACAATTTCTTCCACCTGTGCAGCTCTGGGATGCTACCATTGCCTTCTACCCAGTGGAAGTTCAACGAACCGTTAGGTGAATTTCACATAGGCCAGGATTGCGGTCTGAACCACATGGACCTGTGAGACACGGGGGGTGGGGGGGCAGTCTCTCCCTTTCAAGTGAGGCTCACACACCTGCCTGCTTCCCAGCACCAACACTCATGCCAGCTTATCCACAGTCTCCACAAGAACCCTCTCTCCTTCTCCAGTAGGTTCACGAAGGCTGGTGGTACCTGTGCCTGAGCCACCAGCCATCCTCAGACTGGAAGGATCCTTCCTCTTCCTTGCTAAGTCAACCGTGCAGCCAGAAAAGGTGGCGTAATTGTTCATTCTCAGCCACAGACTATACATGCACATCTTCACAACCAGAAAATTGGGATTGCTGCAGGGAGTCCTGTGCCCTCTTGGCCTCAGTTCCTGGAGGCCCCTCTTCTCTGCAGAGGGACTATCTGCTTGACACTTTCAGGCTGTGTCCTTAGAGGAACAAACACAACCAGTTCCAGACAAAGTGAGTACAAGCTACATGACAGGGGACTTTTGACGGGGACTTGTGGTATGTGTTTCTACTGTGCAGGGAAACGGGCAAACAGCTGTGCAAGCAGTTTGAGGAAAAGCCTCTAACATGGTCTAAGGAATTCAATCTTGAGGACTTGGCCCATCAGACAGAGAAAATAGGATCCTGTATGATACCAAATAAAATTAATAATTTGCCTACTAGAGTTTGTTTGAAATGTTGATCTTTATTTTCTCCAACACTGATGAAAGTAAAACCCACAGAGGAGCATTTGCAAAATGAGGAACTGGGTTTGCAAACCTAGATTTCAACCTATTTTCATGTATTTATAGGGTTCAAGATGAGAACCATCCAGAAAGACAAATGTTTTTTTTTTCCCCCTCTCGCTATAAAATATGAAGAAGGAATCTAACATTTGTTCCTTGAGGGACAAGGAACTGTCGATGAAAGTTCATTACTATAGACATTTGATAGGAATGCATCAACAGTTAGTGGGAATCAAATTAAATATAGTAGCCGAGTTCATTTTAATTGATTAATCATTTTATTTTTGTGGCGTTAGAGTCTAAGCCCAGGGCCTTCAGCATACCAGGCAAGGACCCTATCAATGAAGTGCACACTTTCATTTTTTCTTTTCCTTTTTTTTTTGGGGGGGGGGGTTCTCTGTGTAGCCTTGGCTGTCTTGGACTTGCTTCAGGCTGGCCTCGAACTCACAGAACTCTACCTGCCTCTGCCTCCCAGAATTCTGGGATTACAGGCATGCGCCACAGCATCTGGCTACCTTTTTCTTTTTTAAGATTTATTTATTTTTATTTTATATGTATGAGTGCTTGCCCACAGGTATGTGAGTGTACCTTATGTGCCTCACGCCCTCAGAACAGGGTATTAGAGCATATAGTGTGTGTGTGTGTGTGTGTGTGTGTGTGTGTACGTGTATGTGCATGAGCACACTGGGTATGCGTGCAGCTGTGGGAGTCTAGGGGCATGTGTGGAAGTCAGAGGACAGCTTTGGGTGGTGTCTTAACCTCCGACCATGAGATGGGGATTACATGTTGCTCTCCGCTCCAAGCACAGCTGCTCCACAAGCTTCCAGAGGTTCTCGTGTCTCTGCCTCCCATCTCACCACAGGCTGACTGGGGTTACAGATGTGAGCTGCCACCTCAGGCTGCACGTGGGTTCTGGAGAGCCGAACCCTGACCCTTATGCTTGCATGGCAATGGCTTCATTCATTGAACCACCTCCCAGGTGTGCCACCCCTAAGGGTTCGTATCTCAATGGGCTACAGAGATGATCGAGTCTGGTACAAGCAGGTTTTCTGGGTGTAAGTAGTAAGCATCTCACCAGCAGCCAACCAGCCATGGCAGTTACTCGGAGCCCTGCTTTCCATGAGATCAGATTTTAAATTCGCCAAATAACTTCGACAACAATAAAATTTCTTAGACTGTGAAGATGAAGAACCTCAGTTCCAAGGTCAATTTCCCAAGGGCATCTACCAAAGGCTGATGGCCAGTCCCAGCCGTGCGAACCCTCTCACCGAACACAGGCTCATGTATGAATGCTGTCATTGGCTGAAATATAGGCCAAATCACTGTCCTATATTCAAAGCAGGGTGAAATTCCTCACCTTTGGATTAGGGTGTCGGCCGATGACCAGGCGAACGGGTCCTGGTGGGCATTTACTTAAGATGGCGTGCACTTTGCTTAAAGCTGCGTGGCGAACATTCACAGAATTCACTTCCAGGATTTGGTCTCCCCGGCTAGAGAGGGGGACATAATAACACATTGTGGCAACAGACAGATTTTTAAAAGCTAAGACAGCTTTCAGGAAGGAGTTTAGAATATGAAATCTTTTCCGAATACTTCAAAGAAGCAAATGACATTCTTTCATCTTTATAACATATATTAAAAAAGCAATATATTCATATAAGCATGACATCTTAAATTGACCAAGGCTATTATCAGAAACAGGAAACAAATAAAACTGATAAAAAGACAAGAAGGAAGGTACCATTTAGTGAGCCCTTCCACATGAGGTCCTACACAAAGTAGGTTATATAGTAACACTTCTGATAGGTTAAGTATTACTTTTAAATGGGAGGCCCACAGAGGTCACTCAAATAGGGTACACTGAGTTATCTCAGGTCTGTGTGATTTGATTATCACACAATAGCCTCTTGACCACCAACAGTTTCTTCTTTCTTCCTACCATCTTGAAATGATTATAGTAATATAGTCAAAGGTGGAAATATCTGACGCTCCAAGGTTACCTAAGAATTTGTAAAAATATTTCAAATTTGAACAAATGAGAAATTTAGGACAAGTTGCCTATTTTGACTTGAAATTATCGGGAGAGTGCTCAGCAGGAGAGAACAAAGACCCTTTACATGGGCTCTGAGGAATGTTCATTTGGCTGGCCCCAGGCATATGGAACCATTCAAGAAAGAAACATCAACTTGGGGTGTCATTAAAGGATTTTTCTTCCTTGGGTTCTAAAAGTATATTTTCTTTAATGTACTTTGGATGATTTACTAAGTTTTTTTTTCATATGGAAATTCACTCTGATGATTAACGAAAAATGTAATATAATCTATTAACACAGCCTCCAAGATGGCAACCTCAACGAATGCTGTTTTGACAATTCTTCAACTGCCAAAGGACTTAGACCCTTAATGGGGAGAAAGGTGATACTGTTTGTACAGAGTGCTTTGTGTAATATGTGCACATTTTTGTGAGATTTAGGTGGGCAGCAACCACTGCAATTACAGTATAAAAGAATGTTAAGATTTCTCGTGTACATAGAAAACTGATAATACAACTCAACTATCTGCATCAAGAAATCTGATGGTCCATGATTTTAGATGACATTCAAATGGCAGTGAAAAATATTGAAAAAGCTCAAAAACGAATAACAAGACCTCCCACATGCACATGATTTCAGGGCTCTTTTGCATCTAGTCACTGAACCAATACCAGCAGTTCCAGGCCACAGGATGAACTTTACATAAATGAATAAAAAGTGAAAGAGTATATTGAAATAACCATAGATAATCTCCATAGAGTTATATGTTGTCAAAATTCTGACACTGAACTTTTGAGTCCAAATACAACAAAGCAGGTAGAAAGACTATTTTAATTTTTGTTTTCTGTTGTTTTGATAAAATACCATGACAAAACCAATGTATGCAAAGGATGTGTGCAGCTCACAACTCCAGGCTGTACTCCACCAAGGTAACAGGAACTTAAAACCACTATAGGCATATTTAGAGTTAAGAGCACGCCCTTGACTTGCTTTCTCTACTCTTCTCCAATTCAGAATCCCTTTCCTAGGGAATGGTGACACCCGGAGTGGGCAGATGTCCCCCAAAGGCAGGCCCTACAGGCCAATATGGTCTAGACAATCCCTCACTGAGAGTTTTGGGTGATTCTAGTTTGGGTCAAGTTAATACTTAAAATCATCTGGGAAAACAAGATTTCAAGTACCGTGCGTGATTCAACCAAATTCATATGAACTTTTTATCCTTGTTGATGCTATTAACATCACGATGCTATTATTCAGTCTTCTCTATATTATTAGAAAGAAAGTCAACGATGTAGAGTTCTAGAGAAAAAATTAAGTACAGCAGATGGGCTGTACTTAAACACAGCAAATATTCCTATGATCCTAGCAGTAGGGGAGTAGAGTCAGGGGAACCAGAAATTTGAGGTCACCCTTGGCTATACAGTAAGCTTCAAGGCTGCCTGGGCTATATGTCACTGTCTGTGTCTGTCTAAGCAGATAATAATGTGTGTCTTCACAACTCATAGGACCACACCAGCACTCGAGAATGCCAGGGATGTAACTGACCTCAGGTTGCTCTCCATCTTGGCCACTGATCCAGGGGCAAGGCTGTGGATGTATATACCTGGAGGACTGTTTTCCAAGGCCAAGCAGCAGGCACCAATGCCTAATCCAACTCTAGGCTCTGCGAGAGGCATGACACAAAGACGAGAGCAAACAGGACACAGAAACCAGAAAATGTGCAGTTTAAACAGTGTTTAAACAGATAGTCAGACCAATAAGCTTTTTGTTTGGTTCAGATGCAGAAGTAAATTCTGCTTTTCGTGTTATCTAAAATGTTCTGCTCTCTGCTTAGCCAAAGAACATCCTCACATTTGACTCTGGAAATAGCTGGAGAATGACTAATATTTTTATCCTGAATATAAAACCCTTTAGACTTTTTTGGCGTTCAACTAATTTCTTGGTTATTTATAATTGTTGATCATCTTTCAACAGTAAGTACTAGTCGGGGAGGGGAGACTGTGAAAAGGCAGCAGGATTTGCTGAGAACCTATGATTTATAGTTACTAGTCTTAACTTATTCTTAACTGTCCTCTTTAATTCTTTACAACTTTAGAATACTAGGCTTAAGCTACTCATTTTAACACAAGTCTCTGATGCACAGCGATTCATCTCAGGAGAGCTTTAAAGATTGCGTTACCGGCGACTTCCTTCACTTCTGTAAAATGATTAAACATTTCTCCTCTTGACTTCTCTGGCCACTTGGAGAATAGCACCTGCCGCTGACAGCAGGCGTTTCCAAAGGACTGATTTCAAAAAATGAACGAAAGAACAGAGAAAGCGAGAGGAGAGGGGACCGGTTCACGGTACCTTTGTTGAGTGTGACTTCCATGACAATCCTGTCTTTGGGCCCAGGAGCCTTCCGACCCAGAGTTGAAGAAGCACCTTCATCTTGGCCTCCTCCTGCTGGGGTTCCCCCGCCGGTATTGAAGCTTGGGGAGCTTGATCTGCTCATGTGCGTGGGGGTGGAGCACGGCGTGAGGCTGGGGCTGAGTAACTTGGTGCGCACCGTGAGGACAAACAACCCACTTCGGATTTGCTGCGAAACAATAGAGGGGCAGGTGGAACCGGTCAGATTGCTCGCACAGCAAAGAGGCCAATCCCCGAAGGGAAGAGGGGAGCCGACAGAGACCCATGGGGACACTGTTACCTTGAACGTGTGAATGGCCTCTTGGAACGTCAGGCCCTTTATCGGTATGCCATTTACATCAAGGATTTCGTCTCCTGATGGCCAAACATGAGAAGTACATGAGGCTTTAATTTACTGGACTCTGCGGCACACTCCACATTCCCTGAACTACTACTGTCAAAATGTAAGTTATGATTCCTTAGGAATGTCCCCTAAATAGAATAATAAATACAAATTTAAAAACTCATGTTCTCAATTATATTAAAAAAAAAAAAACTCATGTTCTTCAGCAATAATTCTATAATCAATATTTAATTAGGCTGGATTTGGTAGGGCACACCTGGATTCCCAGCTTTTGACAGGCTGAGGCAGGAGGATCAAGGCTAGCTGGGATAACAATGTGAATTCAAAGCTAGCCTGGGCCATAAAATATGACTGTCTGAACAAAAACAGCACCAAAAAATAAACAAACAAATAAAACACCAGTGAAACCAACTGACAACCAACCAACCAACCAACCAACCAACCAACCAACCAACCAACCAACCAACTAACCAAAACCCATTACCATCACCAAAACCAAACCAAACCAAAATTCCAAACCAAACTAATCAACAAACCAACTAACCAACTAACCAACCAATCAACAAAAAATCAACACACACAAATACAAAACATATCAACCAACCAACAAACCAACCAACCAACTACTACCACCACCAAAAGCCAAAATCATCCATGGGAGAACTTGAAGCCCTAAGGAATATTGCCCACTGGGACCTTTGATAAGAAATACCTTATGCTCAGAGACTGAGCTACAAATACCAAGTTTCAGATTTTAAATAGTCTTATTTAAAAACACAAGGGAGTGTGAATACAGACAATTGGGGAGCCACTACCTTGGAAAGACAAGCTATGTAAGTCCAGAGAATTAACATGAAATGGAATAGGGATTCAACAGTAGAGAGAGAATCTTTAGACTGAGAATTGCCAGCCCCACCTCCAGAAACACTTGGGCTGTCTGGTCTTACTGGGGCAGGCCCTAGGGCTCCGTCTTTAGGCTGGCAGGGCTACAGGCTTCTGTCTCAGAGAGCACTGTAGGTTGATGCCAAATGGCTGCAGGGGCATGCTGAGCTGTGCAGAGTGTGTGTGCAATGCTCACTTGCCTCTCCCTGACTGTCATCTCCAACACTGTGAAGCTACAATCAGGTCGTTTTTCCATGCTGCTAGAGTGTCTTCTGGGAACGTCAGAGGATGTGGACATCCTGTTGGCTTCTGAGAACTGTTTCTCATTTGCACTCTTGTGACATGGGTTGTGTTTTGGACTATGAACTCATCAAGCAGAAAAAGTGTCCCAGAAAAAACAGACAGACTTTGCCTGTCAGGACAGAAGCAGAGAGAGACTCTGTACACAAAGACATGGCAGATCCGCAGGAAGCTGCAAGTGTTCACCCCAGATGGTCAATCCCAGAGATGCTGTGCATATGGGGACCCTCGAGATGAGGTATAGAAAGGAGGCAATGCCCTATGCATTCCCTTTAATGCAACTGCACAAACCCCACCGTAAGCGAAATAATCTCCCTTTAAAGGCCACCTGGCATCACCAACTATTCAATTATGACTGGAGGTGGTATGGACATGAGCGCAGGACAGAAACACTGAAATGATCACTCATGTGCTTATAATTTATATGAGTGCTTTTAAGGCGTATCCCTCAACAGACTGGAAACCCAGTCCAAAGACTTACATTGCTCATAAATGAACACATGTGAAAAAATAGTATTTAGGAGAATCATCCGCTATTAAGCTTTCATAGTGATTGATGTCCCCCTCTACCCTATTTTGCTTCATTCCATCAACCTCCCAGGATGAATTTCAATCAAGTGAGTGCATGGCACGTCCATTTCAAGACTGCTCTGGTGGATTTTTTATGCTGCTCTGAAACCAGACACCGGTAGCACCTGGGGGTTAACTTTTCCTCAGAGAAAGAGAGATAAATATTTTGTCCAAGAAGTATTATGCCTAGTCAAATCATGCTGTTAGACGAATGCTTCTCCATGCTCTGCCTAAAACCAGCACACTCCGACTCACTCTCCCAGTTTAAAAAAAAAAAAAAAAAAGTAAACTGGTATAACTCAGTGGCCACTACCTTTGAGCCAACAAAACTGGATAGTCAAATCATTTCTAAAGGTAACTAGAAATATCCTGACACAATGGTATGAGTTTGAGTCCTGGGACACGCTTTGTAGAAACGGAGAACTGACTCCTCCAGTTTGTCTCTCACCTCCACACGTGCACTGTGACTCCGCTGTCCATGCACACATGTCCACCAAAATAAGTAAATGAATTTAAAATGACAAAAATGCATATTTAAAAGAAAGGGGAAAAACAGGATTTATACTTTGGTTAGTACTATGTAAAGTTATGTTCACAATTTACTGACAATTTTGCTTCATGAAAGTAAACAGTCTTAATCCAGATAAATATTTTGTAAGATATGCAAACATACACAATGAGAAGAATCAACTACTGTGCCTGGTTGTGGTATATGCATACATGTAATCCCAGCATGCATGAAGGCAGAGGCTGGCAGATCTTTGCAAGTTAGAGAGGCCAGCTTGGTCTACATAGGGAGGTGCAGGTCAGCCAGGGCTACGTGGTGCGAAGAGCAGATTTCTAGCTGCTGATCATCTCTGAGTGCCAGTTTCCTCATCTATAAAAGGATTACTCCAAAATATCTACTCAGCAGGCTTGTAATATACTTAATGAAATAACTTCAACATAGACATGCTTTGTAAATGTTTAAAGCACCATAAAATACAAGGTAGAGTTAAACATTTAAAAACTTTATTTGAAACATGTAACTTAAAACCTCAGTGTTAATTTAATCTATACTCTAAATAACTTGTCTTTTGTATTTATGTCTGATAACATGGTAGGCACTGTGGAGAATGGAAAGGTGTTCAATTAGGAGCCAGCTGTGTAGTATTGATTTCAACAGCAAGACATTAAATAGCTATTAAAGTACTTTGCTTTCCCATTAGCCTTAAGGTAATACTGGACTATTAAATTCTCAGGAATTTTTAAGGCAGAGAACCTGAACAATGAATCAGTAGTGACAGTAAAAACCTACAGTCTGCAACAGAAACATCAAGCCATTTCTCATATATGATCTTGTAGAAGAAATATCTTGTGTATTGTATGAATGTAGCACCTGTCAATAAAAAAATGGCCTATAGGAAAGGGTAGAATAGAAGGTGGGACATCTGTTGGGCAGAGAGGATTCTGGGATAGAGCCAAGTCGGGAGAGTTGTCCGTGAAGATGTGAGGTCAGACTCAGGGTATCTGAGCATCAGTAACCAGCCATGTGGTAGAATGTAGATTAGTAAAAATGGGTTATTTTAAGTTATAAGCTAATCAGGGAACGAGCCTGATATTTGTAAATATATTTTGAGTCTCATGAGTTATTATTTTGGGAGCTTGGGGCCATGAAAAAAAAAAAAAAAGCTTCAAGGTAGGCATTAACATGAAGCTTGGGTTGTGTGGTCTGCCCAAGGTCATGATTAGGAGGTGCTGGATTCAGCACAGGTCTAGGGCAGCCTCTAGACCATGATTTCAGCTGCCATGCCATCCAGTCACATCGCCAAGGGACAAACGCTCAAGGACTTAGGCTGTTACTACAGATCACACCGGGAGACTCTTCTTGCCTACCTTCTTTGAGTCTGCCATCCTCCGCGGCTGATCCATTTGGGAAAATGGTCTTGACAAAAATCCCCATCTGGCCTCGAACGCAGTCTCGGCCTCCAGCAATGCTAAAGCCAAGGCCCTACGTTCAAAGTAGACAGTTCAAAGTGGACAAGAGTCCAGGGTGGCACTATGGAATTTTAACTACAAAAACCCTTCCCACTGTAGTATCTGACTGAAATATCTTTCCTATGCAGGTTTGGAGTTTAGGTAAACGACTAGTTTCAAAATCAAGTTTCCCTTTCCTAGTTCCCTCCTCAGATCTAGCTGCAGTGCACTAGACCTGTGCCATATTAATGGAGTGATTTAGGATGAACATCAGGAATTTTTAATTTGACAGTCTTTAATTCCCAGAATCACAGTTTCCTAATGATGAACAAAATGGCTCTTGAAGCCATTACACACCTTGTGGGTGCCACATTTGTTTCAGTCTTTCCATTTTGTATGATGTTAAAGTGGGAATTTCAACATTAACATAACACTGAGTTATCTGTACATCTGTATAATAGAAAAGCCATTGACTGTCACTCAAAAACGAGAGAGGGAACATTCGCTAAGCATGCAAAAAGATTGGGGGATTATTCCTTCCACTCTGGCTTCTACTGAGGGGCTGGAAACTCTGTCTCAGTAGGACAAAGAGTGGTACCATCTTGTCACTGGTGAGGCCCAAAGGAAGGAATGCCTGGGAAATCATATTATCCCTTTTCATAAGCTACTTTTTAAATGAAAACAAAACAAAACAGACTTATCTACTTAAGGAATATGCTACAACTCACCTGGAGGGCAAAAGTGTCTGCAGGAAATAGCTCACCTTGCCTTTCTCTTTGTATAGCCCAATGATGGAAATAACGGATGGCCGAATGAGCCTCCACGGAGATTCCACGTGGGTGGTGCTCAGGGAGCGGGTAGACTTCTTCACGATGTGGTATTCCTGAAAGCCAGCACAAGCAAGATCACATATTCTCATTTACCCCGCTGTGGGCTCTGGCATGCAAAAAGACTTTGAAAAACCTCTTTTGTGTTGGTGATTTCCCACCGGCCCATCAGTGGTCCACTGGCTTAAAGAAAGTTTACTCTAAATACTAATGGAGCAGGGCCTCCCACAGCTGTGCCTTGTTTGCCGTACCTGCCCTGTCTCAGAGAGCTGCTTAGGGACCCCAAGCACCTGTGTCACTCTGTCCTTAAATGTAAGTCACAAAGTTCTTCTGGAATGGGGTCAGGAGAACAAAGACCCTGGGCTTGGGCTCTTCTTGGAACTCTCCCCCACCCCCACTATAAGTTCATAATCATGTTTAAAATGTATCTCACCATTTTAAGCTTAATTTACTCATTCAAAAACTCAGCAAGCCCATGTCTCTTATAAACTGCAAACCACAAGCCCAGACAACTGTTTTTCCACATAAAATACCCTGTTGAGAGACAGTGACCGTTTCAGCTCTAATCCTTCGTATCTGGAAAAATCAAATACTTTCCCATAAGCCACACTTTCCTTTTCTGTCCAGGAGCTCCAACCTCAATCCCCTTTTCGTGCCCTCACCCATGATAGTCATGTGTATCAGCAGAATGCATATTGATAACATAATCAAGAGCTTAAGCGACTACCTATTGTTCTAAGAGAACACTAGGTTCTCTTAGAATAATAAATGTCTTATATGGTGCAGACATCATAACACAGGTGGAAAAAATCACTTCATGTTTAATATGAGAAAAGAACCATCACAAGACAGTTTTTATCCTTGGTTTGTGTCTGCTTCATTCATATGTAGGAATGAGACATTCCCTTCCTGCCAGGGGTATTTTGCATCCCCTGGCAGCTTCGAAGTTACACTGTGCAGTTTGACAGAATATCTGCCAGTAACATGGCCTGCCCAGACTTGGGCTCATTAAATAAATGATGTGGGCTTGGCAGTGTTACTACCCGTTTACTGAAACCACTGCAGAGAGTGCCAGAAAGAGGGTTGTGGCTTGCCAACCCTCAAACACAGAGGCTCATGTATGACCCCCTTGAGAAACCTCTCCTCTGATCACCAATCTTCAGCCCTGCTTCATGCCACCTCTCCTGGGAAGCAGGCAGAAGCCAAAGGCCTGAGTGCTTCATGTGACCTTTTGAGAGTCTAAAGGGTCCTTGTGCACCGTGTACCCTACACTGCAGTACCCACTGGCCACCAGTGGGTATGTTTGGAATAAGGTTCACTACAATTAAAATGCACTCCTCAGCTACACTAGTACATTCACAGGCTGAGACACACACACAACCACCATCTTGGATAAACAGACACAGCCCACTCATACCTACACACTGAAGTTTTATTGGATAACTCTACACTAGGTAGCACTTTTAGTGGAGGAAAAAGGATGGGCAGGAGAGGTAAAAGCTGGGAGAAAAAGAAAAGGACTGAACATAAGAGCAAGGGCAATCTGAAGAGGGGAAAACTCTCTGTTGAGACTTTCTAACCCAGCATGAGCTTCCTGATTTTGGGGCTTGGCTAGAAATGGTTGTTTCTGGACTATGAACATGGACAAGTTTCCTCAGTAGACAGAAGTTGTCACCTGAGTGTGGGGTCCTCGGCCATGAAGAAAGTAAACCCTGACTTATCTCTCACCCTAAAACAGTCTGAGAATGAGGTTCTACCCCTCTCTGGCCTGCCCCACTCCCCTAGGTTCAGCTGGGTCATTCTGAGGAGGTCACAGACCCCCTTACCGGCTCTGTTGCTGTTCTAGATGAGTTTTGATCAACCCTATTCAAATCTTTATTCTCTTGTTCTCTCAGAGAACTTACTTTTTACTTACCTCAGGCTGCCTTGGAGCGAATTCAGCACAGAACAACCTGATCATCACCTGCTTTGAACCACGCTCTTCCTTCCCTACCCACCCCAATCAGGTAAAGAGCAACAACAACCAGAACCAAAACCAGAAATACTTGATCTTGACAAAGTAATTGACTATAATCTTTTTCCCCCCTCAGATTCTGACATATAATCTTGTGTGAAATATTTAGCCATTTTGACCCTCAGTTGCTCTTCCTGCAAGGTGATCATAAGAGTCCAAGACCCTTGGAGCCCACATGAGTCCCCAAAGTATGATACTTAGGGATATCTCTGCTGCTGTGACGGCCTCTTCCAGCACCAGTTTTCTGATAGGCCCAGAGAAAACACTAGTGACTCCCTAGTGGGTCATGGTACCAAGACTCAAGGAACCCCAAGTTCCCTGGAGACTGACCTTCTGTCCAAGTTAGTTGTGAGCCTGTCACTGTCCCAGGGGTCCAGGGACAAGATAAGCAAGGAGGAACCCCTGTTCAGAGTTGTAAAGCCTGAGGTATTGACAGAACAGGCTCTGTAAAGCTAACCACATACTTTATTCCTCTATGGTGCACCTGACCCTGGCTGTTTGGGTCATCACCGGATAGCAGGTATGACCCTAGGCATGGTATGGGCACACGTGTTCACATTCTCCCATACAGTTGTTATTCTGACATACGATGCTCCTAGTAAATAAGCAATGGTGGTTTGCCACAGACTTTGAGGCGCCATTGTCTCCTGGCAGTTGAGAGCAATTCTTAGTTCCAAAACACACAGCATGAGGGGAACTGAGATCCATTAAGAGATTAGTTCCCTACTTTCTTCAACTACTGAACTGGCTTCCTTCTAGTCGCTCTGGGTAGACCCTACATTCTCTCTGTGGCTCTGGCTCTACTCTCTCCTGGCCCTTATCACATGGCCCTTATCAGTGGGCAGCTCTTTTGAAAACACACACACACACACACACACACACACACACACACACACACACTGTGGAGACACAGGAGTTTGAAATCTGTACTTTTGTCTCTAACCAAGCAATGATGGCTATGAGTGAACCCGAGGCCCCATGGCTCAGAATTAACCTGCGATGTCCCAGTAGAATCCAGCAGCTGGGGAAGCGAGTGCTTCCGGCCATCTCGGGAAACTTCCAGCATCCTGATCCGGGGATCCCCATTGCGTACCATCAGTTCATTATATTCTTCAACAGACTCCAGCCGGTGGACACCTCCTGCAACAAAAGATGGTGGACGAATGACTTGATAAGGGATGAGAAGAGTAATTAGCAGAACCGACAGGTCTGGCATCGTGTTTACAATAACTGCATGGGTTCAGAAGGCCTGGAGTTGAAAATGTACAAAGGAGCAAGTTTGCCCAGTCCGAGCTCCAGATTCTACATAACCCTGTTATGTTCAGAGAAACTGATACTTGATCTACAAAGAAACTAGGAGTTTCTGAAGGGCCAAGACTGCCTAAGGCACAATGTCTGTGTTGAATCAGATGCAGGGGTGGTGGGAACAGCCATAAATGGTGAGGGGGCCATATGCAGGTGGTCTAGTAGGGCAGAGCATGATTCTATGTTTGCCATGGTGTCACTGCTGGGTGGATGATGCTCTCATTCCACAGACAATAATTTGTTTTTGAGAGGTACAGTTGACATAGGTCTTGCTATGTAGCCAAGCTGGCCTGGAATTCAGAATTCTCTTGTGCCCTGTGACCCTAACTTGTGAGTTCTGAAATAAGCAGCATGTAGTACTGTGGCTGGCTTAGGAGGGACTTTCTAAATAACATTTTAATTAATGTGTACTAAATATAATTTAACTGTGCACACCAGTGCGTGAGTAAAACTTCTCCTGACGTATAAACACATAGACCAAGAGACATTAACCAGAGTCTCAAAAGCCCCCTTGATTTACTTAACGTTCCTCACCCAGTGGTGACAGGATCTTTAGTTCAAACATCACTGATGACTTCTGCCTGTTTTGAACTTGCTATGAATGGATGTGTATTTTTTGGGTGTACAGAGCTCCTTGTTCGTCACATTTACTGTGTTTTTAATTTATTTTGTATATGTACACACGTGGGGCACACACGCCATGGTGTGTATGTGGCAGTCACTTCACGAGTCAGTTCACAGTCCTCCCACTATGTGGGTCCTGGGAATGGAACTCAGGTCGTTAGGAGTAGAAGTAGGAACTGTAACCCACGGAGCCATCTTGTCTACCCTTAACACATTCAATTTGTGACACTCAACCGTGCTGTGTGTGTGCCAACAGTCTGTTCATTTCCACCCTGTATAACCTTTCATTGTATAAACACACATTGCATTTTATGCATTCTCTTGTTGAGGGACATGGGCTTGCTTCCAGCTTTAGATGTGAAACAGTAGTTGTGTGTGTGTTAGCATACATAGTATACATTTTTGTTTTTGTCCTTTGCCACACATTATTTAAAAGAAACACTGAAAATGTAGAAAGCATTTGGGGCACGCATACATCTGTGGGATGTAGGTTGCGGATTCCTGATTAAGACTATAGCCATTGTATTCTCACTCATGCCTCCCGTGGATGTAAGATCTTCCCGACGATATGTACTCATGGAGGTGCTAGCTCCTGGCATCTTTTCCTTCGGCAGGATGAACTCTGTCTTCTCCTTGTCATCCTGCTCTCTGTCAGTCTTTAATGTCAGCTGTTCTCCTGGGTGCACAATGGGATCTTAACTGTGGTTTTCAATTTTCATTCCGTTGACACCTGACACGATCACACTTCTGTGGATAAAGCCACCGGCTACTCCTTTTTATAAAGAATGTTTAAAATTTCTGTCCATTCTTTGTTAACTGTTCTTATTGATTTCTAGGAAGGTTTTAAATTTTTAATATGTGAGATTATGCATCCTCTGTGGGGCCTACGAATTATAAATATTTTCTCCACATCTGTGCCTTACGTTGTCTAAACGGTATTTTCTGGCAAAAACACATGAAAATCAAAATTTTAATAGTATGATATAGTATTTACAGATTAATTACAGGATGTTTTGAGGTATGTAGAGCATGTTTACACAAAAATAAGATGGTGTCGAAGTTATTGTTCGATTATTTCAGATTTTTTTGCAATCTAAATTTAGTTGCTTTAATAAAATACTCTGACAACTTAGAGGGAAAGGATTAACTTTAATTCCTGGTTATAGTTCACCATGGCAGGAAAAGTCACAGAGCTCTGTCCTGTCACACCCACAGTTAGGAAGCAGAAAGCAACAGATGCATGCATGTTAGTGCTCAGCTCACCTTCTGTCAGTCCGGTCCGGGACCCAGTCCATGAAATGTACTATTGAATTCAGGATGGGTCTTCAGGCCTGAGCTAACCCAATAAAGCAAATCTCTCACAGGCATGCCCACAGGCCAACCTTGTCTAGATAATCACTCATTTAGAATCCCTGATTCCAGCTGATTCCAGATTGTGTCGAGTTGATGATTATAACTAAGTATCATAATGGCCATCATATCACTATGTGATATAATAATATGGGACCACAGTTTTATAAGCTGCTCATTGTGGAGCAAAATGTGATTTTGCAATTGTGACTGAAGATCAACTTTTACTTTTATAACTGATGCTTTTGTATCCTATTTAAGAAACTTTGGAAATAATTGTGTGTATGTATACACACACACACACACATACACACACACACATATATATATATATATATGGGGTGTTGTGCCTATGTTGCAAGCCATACATTCTACCACTGAACTACCTTCACCAAATCTGTAACGATTTTTTAAAAACACCTAATTTAGATGTTACACTGATATCTGATAGGTCAATTACATATGAATAAATCTGTAATCACTATGTCTGTATTAAATACTACACATCACATATGTGCTTGCTTAAATAAATTTATCAATTCTTTTTTAAATATTTATTTTTAATTATGTGTACTTGGGTGTGTCTGTGTGAGTATATGGACATAAGTGCAGGTGCCTGTAGAGAGAGGTGCCTTGGAGCTGGCATTATTGGAGTTATGGACTATTGTGAGTCTCCCTATATGGGTGCTGGGACCTGAGCTGAAGTATTTTGTAAGAACAATATGTATCATGAATCTCTCCATCTCCATACATGATTCTTTACCAAACTGATTTCTCCTGGACTGTGTAATGATTCATTTGATGGTGTCCAATTTCCATCTAGAGATGCCTCTAAAATTTTTTCATGGAATAAGGGAAGATAACAGCAGACTTTCAAAAGTCACATGTTGCTGAGTTTTTAATAACGATACAGTGCTGATATAGTTAATGGATGTCACTTAATGATTAAATTTTCAAAAGATAAACATTAACTTTGTGAAAGTGGGTTTTCAAACATCTGAAATCCCTTTGCAACCAGGGAAAGTTTTGCATTTAAAAAGATAACAAATATAAGAGGCTAGCTAGCACGGATAAATCAAAAGTATTGAAATTAAAGGAGGTCTCTGCTGGCAAGAAAAGAGGGAGGCAGTAAGGAAAACTTGGGTTAGAATATAAGAGAAACGTTCTGTGAAATGAAAGATGATGTTGCTTTAGTAATTTTGGAGCCAGACTGGGCAAAGCCCTCATGGAAATGGCTGAAACCTCACACACACGCTTAAATAAATCACAACTTAGTAATTCATGGGCCAGATTAATCTTTCTTGGCATGCTTACTCATCTGAAAAAGATTTATTAGAAGAAAATTCCGTTAGAGTTGACAGGAGAGAAACCACATACGGTAGCATCCATTGATAATACCCTGACATGAGAACACCACAGTGACTCATTCAAGAACATGGAACAGACATCCAGATCTGGAAGACAGACAAGCGAGGACGCCATGGTATTAACACCTCCTATACGGGGCTGGAGAAATGGCTCAGTCGTTAAGAGCACATATTATTCTTGCAAAGGACTTGAGTTTGATTTCTAGTACCTACATTAAGTAGCTCACAGCTTCCTGGAATTCCAGCTTCAGAGAGCCCATACCTCTCTTACCTCCTCGGGCACAGACAGACACACATACATTCATATTTAAAAATGAAAAGCTGGGCAGCGGTGGTGGCACATACCTTTGATCCCAGCACTTGGGAGGCAGAAGCAGATGGTTCTCTGAGTTGGAGGCCAGCTTGGTCTACAGAGCCAGTTGCAGGACAACCAGGGCTACACAGAGAAACCCTGTCTCAAAAAACCAACTAACCAAGCAACCAAACAACCAGTCAGCCAAACAAACAAACAAACAAACAAACAAACAAACAAACAAAACCAACCCAAACTCCCATATGCTAAGGTCTTTAGAGTGAAGCAGTTCACAGTGATGTCAAAGCCCAGTTCCCCAAGCTTCTTCAGCGTGTCTCCAGGGTAAGCTGCCAGTCTTATTTCTTCCCCTCCTACCCCAAGAATCTACTCTATCCTGATGGCTGCCAAGGATGCGTCCTCCTCTTTACTCACTGCAGAGCTGGGAATATAATTGTCATGGGTTTGCCCAGCTTAGTGCACACTATCAGCTCCCACCTCGACACCCTGCATTCTTTTCCCTGTGCACTCTTGCCAGGCTGTGCTGGACTCAATCATTATTGCCATCGGATTATACTAGGCCTCTCATGTGAAAGAGGAGTAAAAACAGTTGCCCAAATTGTCCTCCATGTTCCTCCACTGCCTGGAAAATCTCCCATTCTTCTCCTCCACGTCTAGACGACTGGACTCTACTCTTCACCCGTGTCTCAGCCCTCCTTTATGCTGCTGTTTCAGAATGCCTCTGCTAGCACCCACTCCAGAGAGACTCCCAGCTACTCTTCTGCTTGCACATGTTTGCACATTATAGAGGCCAGCACTACGTGTATGTGTGGGTTGCCTTCCTAGGGGACTAAAAGTTCTCATGAAGGCCTTCCTGTCTGAAGCCATTCAAACATTTTTTCCCCCTCTTGAGAGGGAAAGAGGCAGGAACAATAAGAATGAAAATGATGACCATAATACTAATGACTTCAACAATAAAAAACAATGGGTGCTTCTGGGGGAAGGGTCATTGCTGTCATGCTTTGGAGTGGTAGGGCCATTTTCTCATTGGTCTTCCGAAAGGCTGGGCACATGGAAGGCTCTCACACTTACTGAAGGACTACATGCATAGTGTAATCCTCCTTTCACAGGTAAGGAAGCTGAGGCCTGGAAAAGTCACTGGTCCCAGGTCACTTGTCTCAGGGGGTGAGAAAACTTCCAGATGATACCTGTGCGTGCTTTCTCCCCTCCCCCACACTTCCCTGTCACAGGCCTGGATGGCTTGAGAAGGTGACATTCTCTTGTGGCAAACAGTGGCAAAGCCCTGGACTGGGTATCATCTAAAGGCATTGCTAGTTCCAAACTGACAATACGAACATAGTTTGAAAAATCAGACATCTATGTGCCCCACCTCCACCTGACTCTAGAAAGCCTTCCACACGGGTAGCAGACAGAATTCTTTTCACTGTCCACTGGAAGCCAGGGGTGGGAAGAACTGTCTGGAGCGCTGGGCCTTTTCCTGGCTCCAACCCAGTGACCTTTGGGATTGATTTCCTTAGCTGCTTGTTCTGAACTATAAAATGAGGAATGTGACTGGATATTTCAAAGGTCCTATATTTCTCCAGACTAGGAGAGCCTCCCTGGGGACTGATTATACAGTGTTGAGCACACAGGGTTTAAAGGGGCCTTTCTCTTTAAAGGAGCTTCTGGCTGGGAGCTGCTTGTTCCCTCCCGCTGAGAGCCTTCAGGGAATATCTATCAGCCACTACCTGATACCTGAGGCCACGCCTTTCTGCCAAAAACCAACCTCCAACTCTCATTTAAACAAGGTGCTGCCTAATTATTCCCAATTAGCAACACAAAACAACTAATTTTTGCAAACAGAGCTTTGAAAAGCACTGCCCTTTACGGTCCCATGTTCTTAGAATAAACACAGCAGAGGGCCAGATGATGGGGCAGATACTCTGGGCTGGCAGCACTGTCCCTTTCCTCTCCAGGGATCTGGATGCAGAAGAAGAAAATGACAGGATGGAGGATGTTAACACATTATGCGTTGTGCTGGGTGGAAAGAGCAAACCAACTCCAAATCGTCCTCTGGTCTCCACACCTGTGCCACGTCATGTACAAGCCTAGTTGTTACTTATGCATCACACACACACACACACACACACACACCCCTGCAGAAATAAATAAATGATAATATTAAAAAATCACCCAATCTTTCAAAGTCAGGTGTCATCTCTTTGGGGCAGCTGTTGGAATGGAAGCTTAAAGCAGGCTAAGGATGCAAGGTTACCGACTGCCAAGGGCTGGGAGCTAAGTTCTGCCTGCCTTTCCAGATGCCTGGGAATGCGGGGCTGGAGCCAAGTTATCTACTAGGCCAGTAGGCACTGTGCCAGGGGCCCACGCCACATTTGGAGACCATAAAAATGCTTTAATAAAAATTTTAAATGCAAGAAAAGTTGAGCATGACAGAAATGAGTAGACGGTAATGAATTCGGTATATATCTTATATGTGTGTAATGTGCAAGTGTGTGTGTGCGTGTGTGTGGGAGTACACACATCCACACAGTGTGTCCAGAGGCCAGAGGTTGACGTCAGGCGTCTTTCTGTATTACTCCGAACATTTATTTTATTTACCATGTACGGTATGTGTGCACATGTATGCAAGATGCATCTAGGAACAGTCAGGGACCAATGTTTCAGATGTTTGCTATCTACACAGTTTTTGTTTTGTTTTTTTTTGGTGCTATGTGTGTGTGTGTGTGCATTCGCGAATATGCTCAACAAGGCCAGATTGATGGCAGACAGCTTCCTTTCTGATCTTCACCCCTGTGTTTTAAGACGGGGTCTCTCACTAAACCCGGAGCTGGCTCTTTCAGTAAGCTCTTCCGGATTCCCCTGTCTCTGCCTCACCCTTATCCCAGAGCTGGGATTTCAGAAGTGTGCCACACCTGGCTTTTACATGGGTTCTGAGGATCTGAACTCAGGTCCTTCAGCTTGGTTAACAAGTGCTTGACCTAACTGAACCATCTCTCCAGCCCCCAGGGTATCTCTTCATATGAACACAGTCATGAAATCCAACAAAACAAATGTGCCAAGCACCCATGGAAGTCATGTGTGTCTTCCACTGTATCCCTCCCAGAGCACAGGCCAGGTCATCTAAGGAGAAATAGCCAGGACATGTAGAATGTGGAATCTATCTGTTCTCTTTCACCAGTTTCTCCTGCTTAGCTGAGATGCAAATTCAATGAGAAAAATCCTTTTGCTACTTGTTCTAGTTGGCTGAGAGTTTTTTGGGGGAGCATATGTATATTGAGAATGTGGGCCACCTGAGAGTGGACACCTGAAACCTCATTAAGATAAATGAACCAAACATTCAGAAATTGAAGTTTCAATACACACACACACACACACTGACATGCACTTCATAATGGGTCAAAAAAATTAGTCATTTGGGTGGTTAGGGCTAATGAAGGTGCTCTGCCAGGGCATGCCTCACTGGTGGAAAAACAGTTCTGAGATTTTAAGAAGATAAAAGGCCTCATCTCCCCGGGGCAAGTCTGTTCACTCTCTACTTAGGAGGATGAGGCAGGAGGATTGTGAGTTTTGGCCAGCCTGGGAAAAATGACAAGCTGAAGGCCAGCCTGAGCACTGCACCACTCTCCTCCCAATGGGGTCACCCTGTCCATGGGGTCAAGCTCCCCATTCCTGGGGCTGCAAGCCTGTCTCATTCTCCACAGGCAGGGAGGGTCCTCACTTACCTGAGAGCCGGCTCTTGAGCTTCATCTTACTGTTCCCTTGTTTGGGACTTTCCAGGCTCCCCTTGGATTCCTCAGAGCTGCCTACGTCCTGGGATTCTTCTGAACCAGGCATCTACAAGGCAAAAAGAGCTGATGGGAGAGGCTAGGCCTCCAAGGAGTTATCTCAGAGAAGTTGGAGACGGGCAATACAGACATCACGTGAGAGAAGAAAGAAGAAAGGGCCTACAGGATCAAAGCCCCACCCTTCAGATAACCAGGAACTGGCAAGTTCCACCATGGAGGTTTCAAACTGGGAAGGACCCCTAGGGCTGTTTCCACTCCTATTTTACCTGGGAAGAACCTGGTCAGGGTCAGCGAGGGTGGTCAGAAGTGAGGCTGGATGTCAATCCAGGTCTCTTGGGTTATGGCTCAAAGATTTTTGTATGATGTAAGTTGCCACAGATAAACATTAAACCAGAAATGCAAACCTGTTTCTAAGACTTCGATTTGTGTCAATGACAGGGAAATGTTCTGGAAATGTGGTTTAAGGCAGTTTTGCTATTCTGGAAATACCAAAGAGTATACTGTGAGACAGACCTAGCCAATCTAAGCCAATCACCGGGGATGGGGCGAGCTGGACAGTCAAGAGACCTGCACAGGCACAATGTTTTACATTACCACTTTAATATAAGAAGCTAACTCTAGCCAGGTGGTGGAGCACACTTTTAATCCCAGGACTTGGGAGTCACTGGCAGGTGGATCCCTGAGTTTAAGGACAGCCTGGTCTCCAGAGTGAGTTCTAGGACAGCCAGGGTTACACAGAGAAGCCAGCTTGAAACAAACAAAACAAATAAAACCAACCCCCCAAACAAACAAACAAAAAACAAGAAAGCTGACTCTTAAATGATAAAAAGCATAGTATAAAAAAATACAAAACTGAGTAATACAGTCCTTTATTGTCAAGTACTATGTACCGTAGATAACGGCATACTCTGGACGTTTACATGTATACAGGCTTATGCTGAGATGCTAGAGTGCCACAAAGTGACAACTTTCCAGTGCTGTTCCAATCGTCTGGGGCTCACTACTGCATAAGTAACCCACCAATGACCGAAATGTTCTGTGTTACACGACTGTATTTCCTTCAGCCGACCCACTGTTCTGTTTGCCACACCCCTGGTCCTGAACGCTCCAGGTTGGGTGGAAGAGGTGTCAGTCGGCCCAAATGTCTGTAAGGGTCACGTTTGGCATCTGAATCCAGGAAGTGAATTGGAGAAGACCGTCCCCAGGGTCATGGCACCAGGCATCTCGGAGAAGCAATCGGTGCTAAAAAGGGCACTAGCAGACTGAAGCAGGACCCCTGGGAGTTTGAGAGTACTTGTTAAAATTTGGGGAGTTGGGGAGTGGGGTCCCGGGGAGATGGCTCAGTCAACAAAGTGCCTCTCATGCAAGCCTGGGGACGTGAGTTCAGATCCCCAGGACCCTTGTAAAGAGCAGAGAGTGTTGGCCTGAATCTAACTCCGCATGAAAGGGTAGGAGGCAGGGGATGAGGGTGGGGGCGGGGTGGGGTGAGAGCGTGCAGGATGGGCATGTCTCTGGAGCTTTTTGAGAGATGGTGTTTCAAAAATTAAGGTGAGTGGGCTTGAGAAACCACTCAGTTGTTAAGGGCACTTCCTGCTCCTGGAAAGGACTGGCGTTTGGTTCCTAACCTATGTTGTTGGGAGTCTCATAATGGCCTGTAACTCTTGATGTAGTGAATCCAGTGCCCTCTTCTGGCCTCTACATATATATATAAAATATGGTGGAGCTTTGTTGAGCTTTGTTAACACCATTGTTAACCTCTGACCTCTACAAGCATGCACACATGTGTAAGCCTGCCTGCCTGCACATTACACACACCCACATGAACATTTACAGCTCCCAGTAGATTCAAGGAGGGGTAAGTGTAAAACTTACTAGCTGTGTCAAATAATATGCTTCCCCCCTTGAAATGTTATTGTCCTTTGATGTTCTAGAAGGAAAAGAAAGAGCCTTGCATTAAAATAGATAAGCTTCATGCTAAGAATTGTACACAACGTTGCAAAGCACATATGTATATCTAATTCAGTGTGTAAATTATAAGGCATTTAGAGTTTTCTCCCACATAACTCATGTTTTAATGAGGTGATTATTTAGATCAACTTTTATATATAATCCATATGCTTGAAAAATCCCTTTCTTGTTTAGGCTCAAGTATCTTCTCAGATAAGAATTAGGAATAAAGAATCAGAGAATAAAGAGATGTGGGCAAAGCTTTGGAAGGGGCACTGGGAAGAAAAACAAATCCTGTCATGGTAAACAAAGATAACAAATTTGGCTCATAATTTACAATGTCAGGGACTGGCGGGTGCCAGGACTAGATTATGAAGGGCTGTTGTAGAGGTTCACTAGAGGGGTAAATGCTTTTGCCATCCTTAAATCCTGACCTCGATGAAAAGCCAGTAAAAAAAGAACTACCTAGACTATAGAGGGCCAAAAATCATGCAAACAGGAGCCATTTAGAGAGATGAAAAATGTCATGGAGAGGCAGCTAGGCTGTGAAGAGCAATTCCCAGAGGCGGGCTTAGGATCATGGCTTGACTAAAGAAACGGGTGCTCTCCGCTTGCCAGTCCCTAGTGGCTTTGATGCTACTGAATGGGGGCCGAGACCAAAGGCAATAGCCAGCTGAGCTGAGAGGCTTATGTCAAGGAAGGAAAACTACCCCACGTCCTGTTTCTGGAGTTTGACAGGCTTTTCTTCTGTTCTCCCTCGTCATCCCAGCACAGCACTGGGCCTTTCACTCAATCACAGGGATTCTGGACATGACACATGAACTCTTGAGTCCCCGAGGAGGACCTGCTCACGGCTGCCTAGCACACTGCAAATGTGCTACCTCCTCAATTTCCAGCTTCACAGTCACTAGGATATTGCTCCTTGCAGCCTAAGATACTATGGTTAAAGCAATGACATGGGCAGCCGACGTGCAGCATGTGCCTCGCTCACTGCCGTTTTTACCATTTCATTTTGACAGTGAATGCGCATTCCAAGATTGATGAGGAAAGAAAACAGAGACTCGTAAGCAATATTTTGCTTATAACATTCAAGAACTACAACAGATTACATGTGAAGACAAATATGAAATAAGTCCTGGGTTACAGGAGACCACACACCCTATATCATATTTAAGTCTTGCAAATGTCAAGAAAAATGCGGTAAGCATTCATTAGCAGAAGCTAAGGTGAAGATTTCAAAATAGAGAAGGTCAATCGAGGCCTTAAAGAACAATGTTTTCTTTTTTCCCCCTTAATCTTCCAATACAACAAAGAATGAAATGATATTTAAATTAGGGGTACTCTATCTGTCGGACACTTGCATGTCAGAAGGGCACATCAGATCCCAGTATGTGAGTCACCATGTTGTTGCTGGGAATTGAACTCAGAACCTCTGAAAGAACAGACAGTGCTCTTACTGCTGAGTCATCTCTCCAGCCCCATGAATGATATTTAATTTCTATGACTTACAAGTTATGAGATTTCTTATGCCAAAAAAATATTATGTTAAACTGTGGCTAAAACAAGAATGGCTCTAGAGATACTACAAAGTGCTCTAAAGGACACACAGTTTCATCCAAGGCAGGAGGGAAGACTTATAGTTCAGAACTTTAATTTTCATAGGATATTACAGGGCTGGTCTGTGTAAAGAAAACCTAGCTGGGTGTGGCTGTACACACTTATAATCCTAGTAATCCCTAGGTAGAGACACGAGAATCAAGGTCCTACTCTTTTCCTTCCCTCCTTCTTTCCTTCCATTCAGGTTTCTCAGATTGTTTTCTCTGTGCAGCTCTGGCTGTTCTGGAACTCACTCTGTAGACCAGGCTGGCAGAAATCTACTTGCCTCTGCCACTGCACCCTCTTCCTCCACCCAGTGCTGGGATTAAAGATCGATACCACCATTTCCTGGCTTAGTTATACTTCTTGTTATTTTGGATGCTGGGAAATGCAACATTGAGGAGCCAATACTTGGTGAATGTGTCTTGCTGTGCCACTCCCATGGCAAAAGACCTAAGGGCAAAGTTTGTCCTTCTGTGAAGGGCCTATTCACATAACTATCCTGGTACAGAGGTCACATGATCCTTTCATGAAGGCAGGTTCACCTCCCATGGCAAAAGACCTAAGGGCAAAGTTTGTCCTTTGTGAAGGGCCTATTCACATAACTATCCTGGTACAGAGGTCACATGATCCTTTCATGAAGGCAGGTTCACCTCCTCAGGCCCTCCCTTCCAACACCACACAGGGGGTTAAACTCCCAGCACAGGCTTTACTTAAACCAAAGTAAAAAAGGGTTCTAAATTGAATAGGACCATTTCCTCCCCTAACAGAAAATTGGTTTGCCACATTATGTGGCTCAGAACTCAATGAACAGGAAGTGGGCAGTCCAGATTCTAGCAGGAAGCAGTGTACAAAGTGTAATTTTGACTACAATGAGCCTTCCTCTAGTCCTCTGCTATTGTCTGGAAATGTTTGCGTTAAGAGAATCCTTTCCCTGGGCTAATTCCCTGTTCCAAATTTGCAGAACAAAGGACCCTGCTCTGAAAATGACATTTGTAGCTGTTCTAGAGGGAAATTAGCAGGAAGTCCTTCTAGAAGACCTCAGTTCAGCCCAGCAGTTGATTGGGCGACATTCATGAGCAGTGAGCAGTTTCTTTTTCGTGCAAAGCAGTGTATTATACTCTTGGAATCTAACAGAACTCTCCAGACCCTTGCAGACCCCCATCTATCCTACAATCTGTGAAGTTCTTTCTTAATGAAGAAGCAGTTTTAGCTTTAGGTTTTGCATGGATAGAGGTGGGCAGAGAACCCAGCCATGAGGCGCATATCCTGGTTACACCATTTTATTAGTAATACATGTGAACTTCTGTGAGCATTATGTCCCCATCTGAGATATGGGGCTGTAGAAGAGAATTAAACTATGTAGATTTTTGATTAATGAAGAAAGGCTCCCCTCTTAAAAAAAAAAAAAAAAAAAAAGAAAAGAAAAGAAAAAAAAAAAAACACTAAGCCAAACAAAGAAGGGTAATGAGGGAGAGGGAGAGAAGAAGAAAGGATATGAATGTA